AATATTCTTGAGAGATTTTCCTCTCGCCCGACGCGCCGATTCAATTCAATTAAACAGAGATGAATTCGTAATTAAATTCGCCAACGGTGGAAATGTTTTACATGCATTATTTACAGTTATTAGAATATTATAAATACTAAATACAGACTGCCTTTTTACGTTGTGTACTTGATAAAAATTTTACACAATAAACTAATATTTTGGATGCATTTATTGTTAATTTTTTATCAAAGAATCGTATTATGTACACTGTGTATATTTATTTTTTTATAATTGTAGGTAGGTAGTTTATTGCGAAATAACTCGAGTATAAAAAGTAGGAAGTCATCGCTCGAGTGATCCACTTTTAATTAACCACAAATATTTGATTTACGAGCTGATTCGAATGTAGAAATCACCAAAACTAACACTTAACTTTATAAAAAAAATAGTTAAAATTACGAAACGTGCCGTTTAGAATTGGAATATTATTTTTTCTGTTAAACGTTCGATCGAAATTAAATTGAAATGCGAACAGCGGCCGGCGAATCGTGAGAGGATTTAGTTAAAAGGCCCGTTTGTTGTTTGGGTAAAAGTCTTAATTTGTCGAAAAAGAAAGTTCCTGTTTGCGTTAATGTTCATGTAAAATGCTAATAACTTTGTGAAATTGTTTGTAAAAACAAAACGAAACAGAGTCGTGCGTTAAGTAATCAGTAATCACTCAATTTCTTCTTCTTTACCTTACCAACATCTCAATTTTTAAAATCCCTGCTGTTATTTGGTTAGTAACAATTACTGGTATTATTTTTTGTAGTTTTTTTTTAGTTCTAATGGCATTATCCTTAATCGAAATCGGTCGAATTTCGAAAATTTTTGCAGGATATAGTAGGTAATTAGGGGTTATTATTAATATTATTGTATTGTTTCCTGTTAGGATAAAAATGTTGTATTTTTGAACCACAATGGGACAATCAAAATTTGATTTCATATGCCTAATATTAATTAATTTTTCCGTTTTTAAATATGGAAAATACTACCCAAGTTATTAGAGAAAATAATATATGGAAGATTTTTTAATTTAACGAATTTATCAGTTTGTATACTGCATTGTGGGTAATCATTTGTAATTTATCTACCTCTTTAACTTAAATAACAAGTTATATAATGGAAGAAAAACATAAAAAGGTTATCAAAAAATTCTTAATAATAGTTTTTTTTATCTTGTGACATGTATATAAAAAGCGACACCCAGTAAAAAAAATACAGTTGTAAAAATTTTACAAAATGAAGTTTGCAGTAGTACTTCTTGCTTTTTGTGCTGGAGCATTGGTAAGTTATTTATATTACTACATATACTATTCATAAAGAAGAGCCTCTACTACACTATTTTCAACTGTATTTCAGAAAGCGCCAGGTTCATTTAAGAATGCGTCAATTGTATTTCAGAACAATAAATTTGATTTCAGAAACCATCAGTTGTATTTCAGAATAGTCAGTTTGATTTCGGAAACGATCATTTGAATTTCAAAATAGTCAAATTCATTTCAGAAATCATCAGTTGCATTTCGGAATTCTTCAATATCTATAGCTTTTCAATTTCAATTTCAGAAAAAAATATAAAGGTGTCTGTTCCAGAAAAAATAATTTCGATTTCAGAAAAAAAATTCTATTCCGGAGAGGAGTTGTTTCAAGTCCGAAAAAATAATATATATTGTGGAGTGGACTGAGTTTTTCTTCTTCGTTAATAGGCTTCTTTGTTAATAGGTTAATATGATTTCTGCATTCCAAATGGGACTCTGAAATCCTTTTGACGGTTTCCGAAATATAAATGGCACTTACTAAAACACAAATGTTAATTTCTTAAATACAATTGACTGTTCTGAAATTCAATTTATTATTTCTGAAATCAAATTGACTATTCTGAAATACAACGGATACCTTTCGAAATATAAGTGACTATTAAATTCTTAAATTCAATTGACTCTTTCTGAAAAAGCACCTGGAAATATATACTAAAATACAATTGGAAAAGGTGTAGTGCATTGTTCATTCTTTATTTATGTATATATCTAATTCATTTAATTACACAGCCCTATGAATACTTACATAACAATGTTTTAAGGCTTCTGACACAGAATTCCAAGGAGCCAAAAGGAGCCAAATAGAATGCGAAAAATTACTGGGAGAACCTAAAAATCTCCTAGAAAACATGGTAGCCGGCAAAGACTTAGGTGACAAAGAGAAGGCGGGAAAAATGGCTTTGTGCATTAATGTCCATTTGGGTGTTATGAACGAAAACGGAGAGGTAATAAGCGAAAAATTCAAAAGTCACGTTGAAAACCTCACCACAGACGAGAACGTACGTAAAGCTTTAATGGAAGAGTGCGGTCACAAAAATGGAAACACCCCTGGAGAAGCTGCCATAAGTTTAGGATACTGCATAAAGAAAAATCTTCCTGCAATACAACCTGTACATTTCCAATTGGATAGCACTATCTCTTTGCTTTGAATAAATAAGTAATACATCAAAAAATCGCATATTTTATTAACTTTTAATACCTTTGCATTATCAATATTGAATTATTTTCGAATAACGTTTCAAGAATATGTATAACATTACATAAGAATATATATAACATTTATAAAATAAAAACAATAAGTTCATAAGGTTATCAGAAATTGCAATTTCTGATAGCTTATACATTTCCGATAAATTATATAGATAAAATAAAAAAATACAATGTGTCCTAGAAGATAGCATTAATAATATTGAACGAAACCTTTAGTTGGTAACAAATATATTATTATGCATAAATGATGAAGTGTTCATAGTGTTCATAGTTTCATCATTACCTCTTTTGTAAAAATGGTAAAGAAAATTAAAACGTGCCTAATTCATGGATCAATATAACACTATCACAAATTGCCGAATGTAACAATTTAGTTTATAAAAATAGCAAAGATGTTTTATATTTGGTACTTTAGTAAGCTTCATATTATATTAATTAAACAAATTAACACAGATTGATTTAAATTCAGAAACGGAAGTTATTAGAAGTCGCGAGATAGAATGTGAAAATTTAATGTGGGAGAGCCGAAAGAGTTCGTAGAAAAACTAGTATTGGCACAAGAAGGTATATTCTATAGTGAAATTCTAGTCTGCACATGCAATAACCTCAAGAAAAATCTTTGTATAAACGAGTGCATGCACCAATTAACACGCCAGCCGAAGGTCCTTCGCCAGGATTTTATTTTATTGACGGTAATTTCGCGTTATTAATGATGCCGTTAGGTGAAATGATAGCCGTTGCAGCCGTAACGAGATCTCGGTTTCGAAAAACCAATCCATAATAATTCGCCATACAATCGCTCTAATCGCAACCATAATCCTTTCGCTAATTACCCAACGAATAATAAATTAAACAAATAACAACGGTAAAACCCGGCGCAATTCTTCTTTCATTATTCAGGGCGGCCTTTGTTAACTGGGCTATTCGGAAATGAAGTAAATTTTTCGGTGAAAAATTGTCGCGAACAAACGGAGGCTTCCGGTGCAGAATAAACATAAACAATTCCACCTGTGCGGAGAAAGTGATGACCTCGCCGTAGATTTTGATATGGCGAGTGATTCGTTGAGTAAGATAGGAAAGAAAATATATTAACTTCTAAAACGTGAGCTTGGTATTAAATTACCGCATTTGAATCTCCCGTAACTGTTAATTCGTAACGCTTAATCACCACCTCTATACCGCGGGTTTTTCGAATTAGAAAGGGGGATTTACCGAAACGGTATAAAAAAATTCCCTTGTACAATAACCTTGGCGGATTTCGATTGTGCTTCGATTATTAGCGAAGTATTCGTGAGTTTGCCAAACAGGAACCCGATCAACCTTGCTTCAATTACGTGTACTTGCGACATTCTAATGGTCGAATTCGTGTAGAAACATCCGCGTCCGGGGGAGGTGTCCGTTCTTACCAAGGCCTTGATATTCGAAACTCGACATTACTAATATCTATATTTCACGCAATCATAAGCATTTTTCTTCCTATTTTTAATCATTTTTTTACCAACACATAAGAGTTTTTTGAGCAGTTGGTAATACTGATTGAAATCAGTGAAGCCAACACACTTTTTAATAACTCAAAAACATACTCTTTGAAATGTTTGTTTTTTTTTTCCTCCGTACTTTTACATGCATTAAATACAAGTACTGCATTTCAGCGAGTACTTTATGCAATCTTCGCTTTGACCTGCTTGCATTTCTGTATCATCTGTCATTAAGTAGTACCGCTGCAATTGAATATTTTAGATAGTTCGAGAGATGGATTTATGTAACGCAATCAAGATGATATTCGATGATATTTTATTTATCAGGAAAAAGATATAACGTTATGTAACAGTAACAGAAAGGATTTATTTCCATCGAAAGAAATACAGGATGTTATGTTTTTTTTATAAACGTTATTTTAAAAACGCTTAAGGGTAATTTCTGGACGACAAATCTTCTGTTTAATTTCATGTAATGTTTGGAGTATTTAGCTAAAATTTTATTCATTTGTAGTAACACCCACAGAAAATCGTTAATTACAGCGTTTTATTTACGGAAACGTTTAATTAATGATCGCACATTAAACGAAACCGAGTGATAGTTAAGTAACAGTGGATTTTGTAAAAAAAAATCGAAAGTCAAACTAGTTGAATTGTGCGATCTTCTTGCGCGCCTTTTAAATGACTGCAAGGAATTTTATAATAAATGAGATGGTTGATAGCAGAGCAAATTGATTTATAACTGTTCGGAATTTTCTAGTTTACGACTCCGAAATCGCATAAATAAATTGACTTTCTCTAGAGAGAATATCTGGAGATATCAAATATCATATTTTAGCTACAAATTTGTTACATTCTATTGTAGGCGTATTGAAAGTACAATCTATTAGAGAATAATAAGACTTTATAAACGATATTGGTCTTAATTTTAGCGAGTTATTAAATCTAATTATGAAACATCTTGATGTTCCAGGCACGCCTCATTGGTCCTCCCAAATAACAACAACCCACCACGACAAGCCGGAGGAATCCAGCATATCATCGATGGTAACATCGATAACCAACAAACCATTGACCCAAACAGAGCGCCAAAAACGCCTGCTCCCTTACGTGAACTTCTACCACACCAACAATAACTATTACCAACCGGAGAAATACCCCAGCAAAAAACCCTACCGCTACCAAATCGAGCCGAATCCCGTGCAAATCCACTACCAACCGAAAGCGAAATACAAATACACGCCGTTCAGAGAGGACAACATCGTCCCGGGTCCTTTCAAGCCGATGGTGGCTAAGGAAGCGCCGCAAAGGATCCGAATCGAATACGCGGAAACGCCCAACTTCGGGGAATTGTACGACAAGTTGGCCACATTGAAATTACAATCGCAGAACTACAACTTGAGGAGGCCGACTTACGTGCAAATCAAACGTCCCGACCCCAAACCGCAACTTTATAATAACCAAGAATTCGTTCGACCGACTACGACCAACATCGAAACTTATACGGCCACTAATATCGATATACCGAGTCCTCCGGAATATCCTTACGACAACAACCAAAGGATATTACCATACTCGACAACTCCTCGAAAACCCTTCATTATTATCCCCGCTAATCACCCAGTTTTAGCGCAAAATCAACCGGATATTCCCGAATACCAATACAACCAACCGCAACCGCAACCTACCAAAAACACCATAAACCTATCGGTAATCCTCAAACACCTCCAATCAACCAACATCCTCCCGAAAACTCTAACTCCTGACAACATCGACAACTCCATCAAGACTTTGGTGAAGATATTGGACGCGCTGCGCAGGCAATCCAAGCCCTCCGCGGTGATAGCTCCGCAGCAGGAGTACCTGGAGGACGTCCAGAACGAGGCCGGGGTGGATATCGGCGGGCAGCCAGGCGAGGGATATTCCGAAGAGGATACGGAGGAGGGCGGCACGCCGGGGAAACCCGGAGTGGATTATCCAGCTTTGGCGAGCATTCCTCCCACTGGGTTCAATTGCAAAACGCAGAGGTACAAGGGATTCTTCGGGGATCCTGATACCCATTGTCAGGTAAAGTGATTGAAACGGGATAAAATTTACTTATTGCATTTTTCAATTTTTCGATTTTGCCCTGCCAAAAAAAATACTTTTCTAGTTTGTTTTTATTGTAAAAGTAAATTTATTAAATTCGTAAAATAACACGAATTCATCGAAACGAATTTAATCGATTAGCGCTCGAAACGTTCATCATCAAAAGCAACGTAAATAAAATTGTTTTAGTTTGAAATTGTTCAACGAAATAATCGGTAAATTGTTTCATTCCTTCTGCCACTTTGTTGTATTAAATTCCGATAATCAAATAAAATTTATACAGTGACTCCATAAAGTCTTAGTGTGTATTATTTTGCAGGTTTGGCATTATTGCGATTTAAATGGCGGCCAGGCGTCCTTTTTGTGTCCAAACGGCACGATTTTCAGCCAAGTAGCTCTAACTTGCGATTGGTGGTACAACGTAAAATGCTCAACTACAGCTCAATTGTACGTTCTCAACGAAAGGCTCTATAAATACATCATCCCGCTATCGCCGAAATTCCCCGAGGATTACACAGGACCCTTAGTAGACAAGTAAATTACAGTTATTTAGACTTGTAGCATCCTTCTAACAATCTTGTACTTCAGGTATTTGGCGTTGAAGTTTCAAGAAATGGAAGAGAAAATGCGCAAAGAGAAAAAAGGTAAGGGCAATAATTCTTCCGAAGAAGAAGATGATAGTTCTGAAGATAATGAAGATGGCGTTGACGAATCGACAGAAAAGGCCAATGTGGTGAAATTTCAAGGAAAAGAAACTCTAGATACTGTCGAAGCCGATAATAATTAAATATAATCGTTTTGTACATGACAATATAAAAGGCTGATATACAGGATGTTTTTTAAATGACGTGCAGAAAATAAAAGGGGCGATTTCTTGGACTAGAGTAAATTTCAAAAATGCACCTACCCCGGTAATTTTCTACGCGACATTAGAAAATACCCTGTAATAATAATTAGGGGTTAATTTAAATTTCTTTTGTAGCATTTCAGGTATAAATTTATTTCTGTTGAAACTTGTACATTATTAGGGAATACAAAGTATTATTGTTATAAATGTATAGATTTATTTTGTGTTGCAGTTTTTATTATTGTGATGTTTTTACGGTGGTTATTAAACGAATGTTATTTATATACGAATTATTAAAATAATTTATTAGATACGATAAATGCGCGCCTGTTATTACCAATATTTATGCGAGTACCTAAATAAAAAGCTTTATATAACTGAGTACAGGAATTTATTATCGCACATCCCCGAATTATATTCGCCCACCCTGTATATCCCTTTCACTTGAAATTTTTTCATTGCAATTATTAAAAATTCATAATAGGGTTTTCCGAAACACCTATGACATTACCTCCACAAGTATTTGCATTATTTACAACGCTGGTTTACTGTTCGTTACCAAGAGGAAAGCTCCCGCTTGTGACGCTCGTGTATCAAGGACGAAGGACGAACGACCGTCGATCGTCGTGTAAAATTATAGGCTATATATCCTGCCGGCCAAAATAATCCCGGTGCACCGCCAAGGTCGAGGTTCGTGTGGCAACAAACCCTCTACGTCTACAGGGAGTCCCAGAACATGCGCTCAACCCCCCGCGTTCGAATTGAACACATACGCGGGTAATGCGAAAAGTTCTCGTCTTGTGAACATTTGTTGATAGTTCATGGATAATTTAGCGGCCTTCCAGAATGTTGCGAAGCTGGAAAAAAGCTGGAAAGTCTAACAGGAATGCGTTGCGGGACAGCCTGTATGTACAGCTATTCAATCGCCCCCGTTTTCCGGTCGATTTTATGTCCAAGTGCATTTTCGTTCTGGTTCATTAAAACCGAAGCGCATCGATTCCGGACGAACGGGCAATCTTGCGGTAAAGAGGATTTACATAATTTTACCTAAGCGTAATTAATTAATTACACCAAATTTAGCGTTTATGTTTAAATATAACTTCCCCGTATCAGAGGGGTCGAATGTAGGTATCCAGGTTAAGACTATAAATATGTACATGTACCTACAGCATCAGAAGAACACTAAATTTATAGTCATATAGAGTTAAGAAACAAATAAGTTGATCCTTTCAGTCTATTTTTGGAAGATATATTAGCTACTCCTCAAGTTATTAACTTTCAGTTTCAATCTAATATTCATCCAAACCTTAGCTCAAGATGATAGTATTTTCTGAGCCTTCACCACATTTCAGAATTTTCCTTTTTTGTGGCTTAAAGGACACAATATGATGCACAACTGGACCTATCAAAGAGCTTTTGTACATGCTTTAAAACCTCTTTCCTAAAGCTGCAAAGTTCTTTCAACTCTATTTAACTCAATCAATTTGAATACCACAATTTAGATCAGTCCTTTATGTAAAACATGTGGCATAATGGAGCTTAAAACATCTATCCTTTGGTCCTACTGACATTAACAGAACCTTTTAAATAGCTTTCCTTCATGCTTTAAAACTTTAAACCCTTCTTTTTACATCCACCAAAGCTACAAACTCCTCAACTCTATTTAACTCGGATGTTTAAACCTTTCCACATCTACCAGTACCTACATGATCTTCAGAACTGACTCCTGTTAATTCTATTTAATCATCATCCCACACGGCCGCAATTGCTGTTCAAATTAAAATGGTCCATCCTATATGAAAAAGTTTTTCTGCATGCTCTAAACCTTTCCTTCTTCAACCCCCAAGCTGCAAAATCCTATCAACTCTATTTAACTCGGATGTTTAAACCTTTCCACATCTACCAGCACCTCTCTGGTGTTCAGTAAATCGCTCCTGTTTACTCCATTTAATCATCATCCTTTAAACATTCCTTCTACAACATCCAAAACTGAAAAATCCTATCAACTCTATTTAACTCGGGCGTTTCAACCTCTTCACATCTACCAGCACATTTTTCGTCTTCGGAACTCGCTCCTGTTAACTCCATTTAATCATCATCCTTCAAACCTTTCCTTCTACGACACCCAAAGCTTCAAAATCCTATCAACTCTATTTAACCCGGACGTTTCAACCTCTTCACATCTACCAGCGCATTTTTCGTCTTCGGAACTCGCTCCTGTTAACTCCATTTAATCATCATCCCGCTCGGCCTCTTCAGGCGACTCCGCAATTGCGGTTCCAATTAAAAAGTCCCCGCGAGGTGACACTCATGCTAAATAGGCGGCGCAGGCCGAGTTCGCTCGGCAACAGAGAGAACGAAACGTCCACGTGTGCTCGAAATGCACCGGCGAAAGGAGCGAATGGCAACCCACCTGGAGCGAATTAAAGCGAAAATCGGGGAAATTGCACCTAGCCGGTCGGCAACCGATTCCTCATTGCACATGCTCTACGAACTTCCATTGAGGGGGATGACGGGAGACCAAACTTGCAAAATATAATGTGATTAGTCCGGTGGTGATTGAGTCGTTGAGAACACACACATTCACACACACAAACAACACGTACAATTTCACGTATACGTGTTTGATTAATTCATTTTCTTCGTATTACGCGCAAAGTAATTTACTCTCCGGCGCGTTAATTTAATAAAATAATCGAATTGCACGAGTGCCGGTGAAACTAAAAATATCGTTTGGTTCGAAATCGACTGGTCGGTTCTTCTGCTCCTCCGGTGCCTCCGCCTCCTGGGCTGCTCCACGTGCGATATCAACAGGTGGCGGTTGATCGAGGGCCAAGTTCAAGGTAACCAGGCATCGATTTCGAAAGAGCTTTCGAGGTAACTGTGTTTGTGTTCAAAGGGATTCTCTATGTAGCGCGGAATGTCGAAGATGATCCTCGCTCTCACACGAATCTCTCGAGCGTTCCGGAGGAAATCGTTTTGTCTGATTTTTGTTTCTTGTCGAATTCTCTGGCTTGGCGATTTTGCATGGTATTTTTGATTTGCACTAATTTTTTTTTTGAATAACTTTGTTGAGAAATTCAAGAAGTATTAAATATTATGCATGATTCAATTTGATCTACTTATAAGAAGATATATAAAGTGATGTGGAAAAAAAGAAGAAAGAAGAACGAAGATGTTGCCGGAGTGTAGCGGGATTTTTCTAATTATCTACCATTCCTCTAATGGTACCTAGTTACGTAAAAAAATCGTTAATATTTAATCTGATTTAATTTGTGATCGATAAATAAATGAGCGAGCACATTAAAGAGTCGTTTAATTGGTGTAATTATTATAGGAATTGTTTCAAATTAAGTTAAATTGTTTTTTTAAATAAATATTTGCTATTTTTGGAAAATAGTACAATATAAAAACTACTCCAACTTTCTCTGAGTAAGTTTCATATTTTTTAAATATTTAATATATGGAAATAAAGTGTTAATAAAAAAAAATGAGAATTTCATTTCCATTTGCAGGTGCAAAAAATTGAAAAATTAGTGCGTTAAGCAAAAATTGTATCTAAACTGCTCCATAAAAGTTAAGGAAGTTTGTAAATTTTGCGATTATTTTAAAAGATGCAGATTTTTTGATCACCAAATTTTCAAATATGCTAAATTAAACGTTTTCTCTCATATTTTAGTGGATTTTTTGCTCCTTCCTCTACAAATTTGGCGATCAAAAAACCTGCAACTTTTAAATTAATCTCAATATTTATGAACTTCCTTAACTTTTGTGGAGCAGTATATTTAAAAGTAATGAGAATAATAAATAATTCCTACCGCCCCCCAAAAAACTTCACTTTTTTACCACTATATAATTTAATTCCTAAAATACTGCGATTATGGAAATTAATATAATTTTATTTATTTTATCGACTATTAATTCAAATTTATAGCAGCATTAATTTATAGAATTACGACTTTGTAATAATAAATTATTCAAATCTTTTCCGGCCTTTACCGGTCGATTTATACGCCAAAAAAAAAATTACTAGCCTTTACCTACGAGATTATCCGGTCAGGAACGACCAATGCAGGAATATTTCCCTACTGTTAGGCAACCAGTAATGCAATTACAGTGCATTTCATTACGTGTCTCGATAATCAACCGGAAAAAACGATTTCTGATAATTAATATGCCGTGCGACGGGATTTGGCTCTTACACAGTCGGCTTCCGATCGATTTATAGAAGATATTCGTGAAAATATACGAAAATAATCCGTCCGAATCCGGCCCGTCAGCCGGAGGTTTTGTTGCCTATCTCGCCTTTACTGTACAGGAGGTAGAAATTTGGGTGGCGTTGTAATGCCAGAAACGGGGCGAAAAAGGTAAGTTTTTCCGCATTTTTAGCCGTTCCAGGCGATTTTTACCGATATTCCATCGATCGAATCGCCGATACACGAGCCCCGCGCCGCTCACGAACCGATAAAACCCCACCGATAACAAATCATTTTTATTTCCGGATTTTTGTTTAGAAGAAATCATCATTCACGAAATCCACAATGGCGGGTTAACCTGATGAAAGGTTACTTCAGGATGAACGGGATTCGTTCGATTGATTAGAAACGTAAATAATACGAAATAAAAATGATTCGAGTTAATAATTAGTTCGTAAAGTAAATTGCTGTGTATGAATTCAGTGCGTTCGGAATTGTTTTGCTATTTTTTTGGTACAATTTAAAATTAGTTTTTCGCGTTACTTTTAAAGGCATTTCTATCGATACAAGAGAAATGGTAAATTCATGACGTACGCATTTCTTTATCAATCATTCGAGAGAAAATTCAACAAAAATGAAATAATGTTAGACGGTACTGTAATAACAAATAATGCATTCCTGTATGTAATTGTGCTTGTAAAATAACTGTTATTTCTAGATGGTTACAGTTTTAGGTCAAATAACTCTATTCCAAGCAGTACAACAGTACATACACGTCCACTGATAAGTTAACGTCCCAGTTAGAGAGGAGCGATTTGTGAAACATGTGTTTTTGAAACAGGTAAAATTTAACCGAGAGAAGATGGATCAGCAATTTTGCCTGCGATGGAACAACCATCCGACCAATTTAACCGACGTCCTCAGCAGGCTGTTGAAGCGCGAGGCCCTCTGCGACGTCACGTTGGCCTGCGACGGTGAGACGTTCAAGGCCCACCAGACCATCCTGTCGGCCTGCAGCCCCTACTTCGAAACGATCTTCGTACAAAACGCCCATCCGCACCCCATCGTATTCCTCAAAGACGTCAATTACAACGAAATGAAAGCGCTCTTAGATTTCATGTACAAAGGCGAGGTGAACGTGTCGCAGAACCTGCTGCCCATGTTCCTCAAGACGGCCGAAGCCCTGCAGATTCGGGGCCTCACCGACAACAGCTCGTTGAGCAGGAACGAGGAGGTGCAGGAGACGCCCCGGAGGGACAGGGACAGCCCGCCCGTCGAGAAAAGGAAACGTAAATCGTCTTCAAACTGTGATACGACATCTAACTTAAACTCCGAAAGGTTTAACGATTCTCAGGTATGTTATTTTTACCTTTACCTAGCTTTCGGGTTATCGATTAGAAGTAAACATTCATATAAATCGAAATAACCTTGTAATGGGTTACAATTAACCTTAATATTTATTAAATCCCAAATTTCGAATTGTCATAAAAACCCCTAGGTTCAATTTTTCTACACAAATAACTGTACGATGGGTTACACTTAACTCTGTTAGGTACAATTAGAATAATTTTAATGTAAGTTATCAATTTTTCTATTCGAATAGGTTATAATAACCATATGATTGGTTTCACTTAACTCCGATACCTCCCGAATTAGATTACCAAATGTCTTAAGACTCTGAAAGTTCAATTTTTCTATTCGAATATGTTATAATAACCATACGATTGATTTCACTTAACTCCTATAGGTACATTTAGAATTAGGTTACCAAATAAGCTTGTAAGTTATAATTTTTTTTATTCAAATAGGTTATAATAACCATACGATTGGTTTCGCTTAACTCCGATACCTACCGAATTAGATTACCAAATGTCTTAAGACTCTGAAGGTTCAATTCTTCTATTTGAATATGTTATAATAACCATATGCTTGGTTTCACTTAACTCCTATAGGTACATTTAGAATTAGATTACCAAATAAGCTTTTAAGTTATCAATTTTTCTATTTGAATGGGTTATAACAACCCTTCAATTGATTTCACGCAACTCCAATACCTCCCAAAATAGATTTCCAAATGGGTTAAGACCCTGTTAGGTTATCAATAATTTTTATATTCAAATATGTTATAATGACCATTACATTTAAGGTTACACTTAACTCCGATACCTGAATTAAGTTACCAAATGTCTTTAACTTTAGACCCTAAAGGTTATCAATTACTCATTTACTCTGATACCTCCAGAATATGTCTTAAGTCCCTGTAGGTTATCAATTTTTGTAATTCCTGTTTAATAACCTGGTTTACAATGTTTTATATTGAATTTTTCAATCCCTTAGATTTTTTTTACCTAAATTTGTCAATGCTCGGTTATAATTTTAACAAATTCTATCAATTCCTCATTGTTGTTCGATATTTACTTTATAACGATTTGTAATGAATAATCAAGTCAAATATTTGTTATGATTTTCCTACATAATTCGTTTAATAATTTACTGAATACACGCGTAAAATCTCAGTAAATAAAATACTTAATATTTATAAATTAAGGATTTATTTAAAAATTCATTACTCACCTGTTAGGCTTTTTTTTTAATTAGATAAATAAAAATGCTATGAAAAAAAGTTGCTAAATATTTAGCGAATCGAAAAAATAAAGCATATCAGCGCAGGTAATTTTTTATTGATAATAATTTTTTCTTGCTCCTGTGACATTATTGCGAACCTATAAAACTGATAACAAACACGTTTCCAGATAAATGCACCGAGGTAAAAAATGCAACATACTGCTCAGTGCATAAAGGGATAATTCAAATTTCTAACAGCAAGCATTTTATCTGATAATTTCATTAACCTAAGGCCTTTACACTAATCGATAACCCTTAATGAAAAATGCTTCAAGTGCAACAAATTCGTTCAACTTCTAATCTAATTGATTATCTCGACAGTTTTTGTACCTAAAACGCTTTCATACAGAATTTCTGTACATTCAGATAATTCGTAATCTCGTTAAAAACACCCAATATTTACTGGAAGAAACGAGGAATCGATTCTTAGACTTTAAAATCGCTTCTAATCAAAACCGAGTCAAGGCTGAAGTACTTGGGTCAATGATCCCATTTTTTTTTCATAATAACGTTATAAATAATAGCAAAACATAGTAAATATTATACCCCATTCGCAATAAATTAATTATTTGGCTCTCCCTGTGCAAACCCTTAAAAATTGATTTAGGGTCATTTAAAAACGTTGAAAAAAATGTTCCAGGCAAGTCAAAGGTCTAATGCAAACGTACCAAAGTTAAATCCCATATCGCCCATCGATAGGGACGCGAGTTCCGGCCCAGAGGATATGAGAATATCCTCGCCTTTGATCAAACAGGAACCCCAGCACGATTCCAGCCCGTTGATTGACTCTTTTCATTCGATGTCAGAGGCCTTGCAAACGGTAAGACACCAATGCGTACCTAGTAGTTTAGGTGGCTGTATGAACATGCAGAATAAGTCCCCGAATTTCAGTTTTTGCTCATCGGAGAGCAGGTACAAAATCGAATATTCTACACTTAATTTTTTTCGAATAATTTCAACAGTTCGGTTCGGGTGGTGCAGTGTTTTGTGTTACTTTGATGTGTAGTGTTTTCGAATGTAACATATACATGCATAAAATCGTTTTATTTGCAATGGAGAAAGGAAGTGGATTAATTAAAAAAAAAAAACAATTTCATTTAAAAAAAAATCAATCGAAAGCAACAGAAAATGCTGTTAACCAACTTAGTATATTTGCTAGCTGTATGAATAATGAACTCATTATGTTATATCAGCGAATGTACTATTGGATAACGGGCATTCCGAAATGAAATTCATCCTTTCTTTCTCTGTTGGCAGATAAACTCTTGGGGGCGCGAAGGAGACTTAGATACAATGTTACCACAACAACCGATCGTAACGGAATACAAAACAGATTCCCCTAAACTGGAGAATCTCCCAAACACCATCATTATCGACGACATATCGACGAGAACCGTCCGAAATTGGAGCGATCGAGACGCTCCCAATATCGATTTCGTGTTCGATTACCAATCGTCCCGCCAATTACCGTCCCAAGAAATCTCCGTTATCCAAACCTCGTCGAACAATACCCAAACGAAACCGACCGTCAGCAGGAAGTACAGCAAATTCCGGCCCAGCTGGATGGAGAACTACCTGTGGCTGCAGTACGACGCCGACCAGCAGATCATGTACTGCAAGTACTGCAGGAAGTGGAGCGGCCAAGTGCCCGACATTCGCACCTCCTTCGTCGTGGGAAATTCGAATTTTCGATTGGAAATCGTCAATCACCACGACAAGTGCAAGGTGCACAAGCTGTGCATGGCCAAGGAGTTTTCGAGCGGCGCCGGCGCCGGAGCCGAGGCCATCGAGAAGGCTTTGGAAACCGCCAAGAATACCGGTTGATTGCTGTTTCGAGGAAATTTCCTTTCTTCGCGATATTGTCGTAGAGTGATAAATACTTATCGAACAGTGGAGCAGGTGACGTTAGGCTCTGCAGAAAACTCCAAATTTTTTATGTTTATTTGGCTCTCCCTGTACGTGCTGCTACTTCATTAGGATGATTTATTGCTCTAAAGCATTGTGTCCAGCAGAAAAGTTCTCCGCCTGAATCATTTAGAATTGTCTAGAACCATTTAGAACGCATCAAAACCATTTAGAATGCTCCAGAATCATTTAGAAGTGTCTAAAATAATTTAGAATTGTCTAGAATCATTTAGAACTGTCTAAAACCATTTAGAATGCTCCAGAATCATTTAGAAGTGCCTAAAATAATTTAGAATTGTCTAGAATCATTTAGAACTGTCTAAAACCATTTAGAACGCTCCAGAATCATTTAAAATTGTCTCGAACCATTTAGAACGCTTCAGAACCATTTAGAACGCTCCATAGTCATTTAGAACTGTCTAATACCATTTGGAATGCATCAGAATCATTTAGAACCGTCCCGAACTAGTATTTTGACTTAATAAGAAGAATAATGTAGTTTTTCAGCTGAATATCGCAGTTTTTCATTGTCAGGACGAGAACTTTTCACCTTACCCTTGTAGATCGCTAGTCATGTTGTGTTTTGAAATTTACTTTATTTTGTAATATTGAAAACTTCCGGAATTTTATGAATTCCATTAAATTTCAGTTACTTTTTGAACGAAGAAATTCGTGGTTGTCGAAAGGCTTGTGAAGAATTTGTACCTGCTTTTTACGATAAAAAATTCTGCAATAATTGTATAAAATAAAGAAAAAAGCAGATTTTTGAAAATGTTTAGTGTGAAAATTGTGAATATTGTACTTAAAAAGTTTAGTATCATCTATGTGATGAATACCTTTTTATAAAAAAGGCTAAAATTGTTTGATTAATCAATCGATATATATTTTATATAAATATTATACGTAGGTTTTATATAATAACAATAACATTATTTCCATTTTCTTCCATTAGTCTTAAATAATTTGCTTACTTGTTAATCTTTTCGCTTGGAAATTTTCTATTAATCTATTGAATAGTTTGTGATTTTAAGCTTGTTAACTGTTACATTATTTAAGTATAATTCCTATTGTGATACTTACATCGCTTATAATTTGAATTAAATTCGCTTCTTATGTTACCGAACGTTTTTATTAAAACTCGACTACTTCATTATAACAATCAAACCTGGCAACACCGCGCATTAGTTAACCCAACAAGTGACAGTTCGAACGCGCAATCCCCGATGGGCGACGTTGCCAAATTTCAAATAGAAAAATCCCTATATAAAAAATGGACAAATCGATGTAATTTTTTTTTCTTTGGAAATATCCGCAGGGCGGCAGCGTGAGTGTACATCAAGACGACGTAAAATTGATGGGACACCCGATACCTGATCTACCAGACAACGAAACACCTCCTATCCCTCCGCCCGAAATGACGGACACAATAGACGGTAAGTCGAAATAAATCAGACCAATAAGCATGAGTAAATTCACTCTATTTTTGGTTTATGTTAAAAAAAACGAGCGAAACGAGCGATTCCTAAGGCGTATAGTCAATACACAACCTCATTATATCTATGTATATCTAAAGCCTTTAATTATTGCTGGTGACGTCACTGTACATCGAATCATCTTATTGGCTGGTAAACCTATCGAGTGGAAAATCGAGCACTTTGATTGGCTAGACTCAATAACGTCAAACGTCACTTTCAACAGTTACTGGCCCACATCCAGCGCCTTCTTTTCAATAGTTTAAAGAGTCTTTAACTGGACTGTTAAGCATTGTTGTTTTATAAGGATGTTGTTTAACGTTAAAGAGACTCTTTAAACGATTGAAAAGGAGGCGCTGAATGTCTTTTGGTATAGTTCATGATGAATTGGAAGTTTAAACCACAGTTATGCTTAGAGGAATCGTTTCGTTTCTTTCTCGTTGTTATTTTCGGCTTCTTAATGTGCAGCTGCGATTTATTTCTTTGAGCACACGTTGTATACAAGCATGCTACTAATTTGTACAGTTAGAATAGGAATGTTCGAAAGACGCGAAAATGTCTAAATAACCGATACGGTGTTCATAACCCACGTGTTGTTATGTTGAAGTTATGGTTTAAAGTAAGTATTTGGTGGAATTTATCGAATGGTTCTTATCGAGGTAAGTTAAATCGTATAGAAGAGATTTTTTTCGATGAATTTATGGCAATTGGATGATTTTTTTTTCAGATTTAATCACGAAGGCTAAGGGATTAATGTTTAATATTATTACTTGTTTACTTCATTTAGAACATTTGTAAATTTTTGATTTAAGAGGTAGATCAATCCCAAATCGCAGTTTGCCATGAACATGGCGGAGTTTCTTAACAATTTCATTGTATGTTAAGTAACTAATTTTTAACGTTTTTTCCACGAATATTTGTTGAAAACGCGCCGAAATTCTAAGTTTTTGAGTTATAAAATCCTATTTACGTACTACATTTATTAGTATAATAGATTAAAATAGGAACCAAACCTGGTATTTAGTGGAGAAACGATCGGCGTCTGCAGGAACTTCGATAAATATTCCCGGCAAGTCTCATAGTGAATACACTAACAAAAACGCACTCGAAACGCAATTACCACAAAAAAACACGGCGAAATTCGCGATTTTACATTGAAAACTGTTTCAAAATTTGGAAAGCGTCGGTTATGACAAATGACAGATGACGCAGGTGTGCCAACGTAAAATTTTCACTTGGTTACCAGGCGGCCTGTGACTTAAAGGTATTCGGTTAACGCGGAAAGCGGGAAAATTCAAACTGATTTTTCAGAGCGCAAATGGCAGAGTTTATAGATCGTTTGAGAACGAACAAATTGATTTTATATACTATGTGAACAGACATTGACTGTCTTTAAGTAGGTATGAACAATGAATAAAATTTATTCAATGGAAAATGATATTTTTATTTTTGTTATGGTGTGCGGGTTTTCTCTTTCGAAACAAAAAAAAGCTACTTGTTGTTGAATTATGATTTTCTAATTGATCAGTAACATAAATATTACTGTCTTGTTAATATAATATAGTGTATTCACATAAATATTCCGGTTAATTATGGTTATTAATTAATCGAGGTACAATATGTGAATACACTTATTTTACATAAGTGTAATTAATTAACATTAATACCATATTTTTTAATAAAAATATGAGATTATGTTAAAACTAACGGTCGTTTGTTGAATTGCAGGTGAACTTATAAAAACGGCATTTTATAAGTAAATTTATGTATTTTATACAGGGTGTACCAAAACTATAAAAATTACCACTTATTGTGTCTATATTTTACGAGATACAGGGTGTGAAAAGTGAGTTTATTGTACATTTTGATGCCTTTTGTATTTTTTATAAGAGAAATTTAAGGTGTTGTTTTGACTACAATAAGCTGTGCGTTTTGGGACACCCTGTATAAATATTCCTCTCCTTACTTTCTCTAAAAATAATGCTCTATTCTGCTCTGGGGTGCACATACTGTCACTATTTTACCTTTTTTGCTGTCACTATTAATCATTAACACTTACGAATAACGTTTTCCGTTGGCTCTCGATTCTCTATTATTTTTTTTTCTCTAATAATACCATTTCAAGGAGGATTCGAATTTTGTACAAATGAAAAAAGAAATACACTCCTAACATACTAACCACATTGTTTTTTTTTTACTATTTTCTCTCCGCTTAAGAAACGTCTTTAATTCCAATTGCGTTCGCTTCACTATTAATTGCACAATAAAATTATTTCATAAACTCGAAAAACGATAAGAAAATATACGAGGTGCAATCGAAAAGTTATGAAGATGTAATAGTAACAGAAGAGTTTGGTGTGATTGAAAGTTATGTAAAATAGTTTATTTTCTTATCGTTGAGTTGTGTTGTGTTGTAAAAATTAAGAGAGCTAATGGAAAACGTTCAAAAATAAATTATATACGGGGTTATTTAAGGTTTTTAACGGTGCGTTTTGCAAAAAATGTTATAATTTCGAGAATATATATTGTTGTTTTGAATTAGTTTCTGTTATACATGTTGTCTCGACTCGTTAAAGTTTTGGTTTTTTTAATTTATTGAATGATGATTTACAGCCATTTGTAAATTGAGAAAAGGGATTTGTTTGTTCCAATTCAGCTTACTATGATTTATCTGGTGGTGTAGGAATTTGTATATAGGGTGGTAAAAAATGAAGTTAGAGAAAAATGCGATTTTCAAGTGGCTGTAGATTAAGGAATTATAAAAAAACGAAACTTTGATGATATATCGAGAGACTCACAAAAACGCGCCGTTATATGTATAAATAACTTCGTATATACCAAAAAAAAAAGCTTGGCGATTAAGTAAAAAAGAAAAAAAAAAGAAAAAAAAAAAAAAAGAAGTACAATATATTCTCGTTTTGCAGGTTCAAAAACCTGGCACATGCGACTAACGTTCGACAAGTTGCCGGGCGGCTGCAACCTGCACCGCTGCAAGCTGTGCGGGAAAATAGTGACGCACATCCGCAATCACTATCACGTGCACTTCCCGGGCAGATTCGAGTGTCCGCTGTGCAGGGCGACGTACACGCGCAGCGACAACCTGCGAACGCACTGCAAATTCAAACATCCCCGTTACAATCCCGACACTAGGAAATTCGATCCGCCAAAGTTCGAACAGCCGACGAACGCCATCGCCAATGACGCCACGGCCGATTGATTTTGGCTTTATTATTATTTCTACTATAGGGCCATGTGCGAATCATAGCGGGGGCGCATGCGCCACACCCAACTTTTAACTACTACAACTACTACTACTAGTACTACTACTACTACTATTACTACGCATAGCGCCAACAATTAAAATTTATACAAGTTTTTTTATATATATTATATATATATTTATATATACACATATATTTACACTCATATTATCATTATTATCGTTTGTTTGTTTGTTATTAAATACACCATACAAGTTTTTGACACCTGACTGTCATGTATGCAATACAAACGATTCGGTGTATGGTGCTTTCAAAGTCAATTTAATATAATATGATTTATTGCTCTAAAGCACTGTGCAGAAGTTTTTACGAGGGTAGGGTGAAAAGTTCTCGGCCTGAATCATTTAGAATTCTCTAGAACCATTTAGAACGCTTCAGAATCATTTAGAAGTGTCTAGAACCATGTAGAACGCTTCAGAACCACCAAGAACCCTTCAGAATCATTAAGAACGCTTCAGAATCATTTAGATGTGTCTAGAACCATGTAGAACGCTTCAGAACCATTAAGAACGCTTCAGAATCATTAAGAACGCTTCAGAATCATTAAGAACGCTTCAGAATCATTTAGAAGTGTCTAGAACCATGTAGAGCGCTTCAGAATCATTTAGAATTGTCTAGAACCATTTAGAACGCTTCAGAACCATTTAGAACGCTTCAGAATCATTTAGAATTGTCTAGAACCATTTAGAACGCTTCAGAACCATTTAGAACGCTTCAGAATCATTAAGAACGCTTCAAAATCATTTAGAACGCTTCAAAATCATTTAGAACGCTTCAGAATCATTTAGAATTATCTAGACCCATTTAGAACGCTTCAGAACTAAAACTAAACCTCTAAAACCATTTAAGTAGGTGTTTTCAAAGTCAAATTAATATTGTTTTAAAATTAATTTCAAACATTTTGCACAGCGTATTGGGAATATCATCGAATCGATTATTTTTCTATCAATCAATTGCGTATATATTATTGAAATCGTTTGTATGCATACAATTGTTATAGTTTTTCGATAGTCAATTGAATATAACTATTTTTTCGCATTAATAAAACGATATCTTAACTGTCCATTAAATGGATGAGTTATCGTAATAAATTTAGAAATATTTTTTGTATTCGATTAACTTTAGAAACACTATACTTATATGGTGTATTGCTCTATTTTACTACGTTATTTGTACAGCGAGAGACAAGATGTTTGTTTGTGGAATTTACGAAGCAAAAATTAAAAATATCTTGTCCTTCGCTCTAATCGAACAAATTTATCGCTAAAACGTACGCCAAAGGAACAATTTTTTTTTATGACAAATCACAAACGCCATGTAATTCATCCGAATATGTTACTCAACTTGGTATAGACCGGTAGGGATAGCTGTAGACGTGAAAAGTGCGCAGCGAAAACCGCGCACGTTACGTCTCCGGCTATCTTTCGCGGTCTGTACCTCGACAAATTCGCTCAAACGCTAGTAATTAGAGCAGATATTTAACAACGACTCAAATTCTCTCGCCTTAGTACCTTATGTAAAGCGTTTCTTCTTCTCCCCTCCCAAAAAATGGACGATTTTTACCAGATATTTTCTATTATTGAAAGAATTAAAAAAAAGTTTAAAATACTCGTTGTTGTAGCTATGACAGGTAAAAAGTAATGGCTATGCATACATAATGATAAATATTTATGTGATAACGCGAATTTATTCAAATGTAAAATGCCGTAGGAGGAGTTTCAACGCAAAATTCTTCTATTCTAGTCTAAAAATTATACCTTTTTTTCGACGTTTCTATACTAAACCGTTTCCTATATTTTACACATCTCGTAGAACTCAAAAAATTAAGTATAGTATGTTCATTATAATCCAGAAGTGACGTCACGACATGAATTACTGAACAAACTGTACATTTTAATGTTTGCGACGTAAATGAGTAAACTTACTATACTTACAAGTGTTATTTTTTGAGTGTACGAGGGAGGTTTGAATAGATTTGCGCGTTACACGATAAAAAGCTTACTATAACCTAAGAATAGTAAAAAATCTGTGATGTTTCTTGGAGTTCGACTCAATTAAAAAAAAACAAATTAAATTACTCTTTTATAAAGACAAACGAGAAAAGCACTAGATATATATGTATATGGCTTTTTAAAAGAGCATTGAAATTGTCAGCCGTCCGTCAGTAAAATTAGAAAAAATCCGGGCATAAAAGGCGGTAGGAAAATGTACTTTCTCTTTATTATTTCTCCAATTTTATTAATCGTTTTTGTACCACGTGTCGGTGAAATTTCAAAAATCTCATCGACGCGCCCCCGTAGATCGCTCGCATCGATTCCCTGTTACGGGGGACGGTCGTTATTTACTAATTCGTATTTGTATTTTATCGAAGGAAAACAATGACATTATATCGTAATTTTCTATTGCCAAACTAACTGAATTAGTTTTGAATTAATGTAATTTAAGTGCAATCGTTTTTATTGTGTATTACCTCATTTCTTATCTCAGTTTTTTTTATTATTAATATATTGCTAGTTAGAAATTTATATTGTAAAATATTGTAATGTTTAAGGTTTAGAAATCTCTCGAATTTTATACGGTACCTTCTTATTTAAAGGTACTTTTGCGGCCTTTTTAAATAGTAAAAAAAAAACACTTTCATTCTCGTTCGAACGAAAATTTGGATATTTTCGATGATACATTGACGCCTCTTTACGGATCATTTTTAATTATTCTCGCGATCCGAATGACGATTCAATGTACCTCATCGAAAAAAAGTACTGTTTGTAAAATCAAAAATTATATATATATATTACTATAAGATTTCAAGATTTATATTAAAATACTCACTCAAAGTGACTGTAAGGGCACTTTTCGAAATTACTCTTGTAAACTGTGTACATATGACAATTTATTCGATTTTAATGTCCTGATCATTTTTCGTTTTTAAGTGAAAACTCGCGTGATACTTTTTTTTATGTACATATTTCAACGAACCATCGCTGTAAATGATGCTTCGAAATTCGCACGAGGCAATTTCTCGTACGCGCCCCGTATCATTTACATCGACTAGTGTTAGTGCTGTTCTGAAATGTCAATTGACTTATCGGCCTTCTTTTAATCAAGTTGAATCGATGTAAAGCGCGTTCGGAACCGGTTCCGAACCGGTTCCGGACTCTCGATATTTACTCAACAACGAAATTGGTTGTTAAATTTACATCGAATAATCGGTTTTTTTATTCATACGTTTCTCTATCGATTGCTTTCCAATAATTAGACTAAGCGAAAAAAAAAAGAAAAGAAAAATCACCTAAATTTATCGCGAAAAAGTCGGTTAGTTTTTATATTGATATATAAATATATTAAAAAAAATATTTCTAATTGTGTATCGGCATTAACTATTAAAATTAGGGATGAGTTTTTAACTAAAAGATTGTGATATGATAAGGATTGGTGCTAAGCAACCTTGTACTACACGAGTTTAATATTTAAAAATTGTGCAATATTTAGTTATTACGTAAACTCTTTTGTCTATTATATACTCTATGATTTCCTCAAAAGCGCTCAATTTCTCTTGTTTCTTCAACGAATCGAGGCACACGCGATTATTAAAAGATTATTTTTATAATCTAGTGATCTGGCAATTGGAAACCACGCCTACTGTATGGGTGGGAGAAAAGCGACAAAGACAGCTAAGCGTTGAAGAAGGAGAGAAGTATATTATGATTGAGCGTAAAATTTGTACAATTTGTATAAAAAAACAGTTAAATGGGATTGTATAAAATGTGGTCTGTAAGTTTGTTGTTGTTAACGTGTTTCAGTCTGTTTTTTTTTTAATAATTAACATTTTGTTGTTTATAAAGGTTGCGGTTAACTTTTTGATAGTTAATTTATATTTTATATACACATATTAATATATCTATTGAGCTTTTAATAAATTTATTTAATAAATTTTCATATACATTTACATTTACTATGGATTTGATTCATGTAAAAATTTAGATAGAGAAAGCGAAAGGGCGGTTTTTTGGAATATTGTAATTGTAATTCGAATCTTAAGGGTGGATTTTGGGCTCTTACGGTTCGAAATAATGACGGGAATTGTTCGATCAAAGCCTTCCATGTTTTTTTTTCAAAAATTATCGATCAAAATCGAGTTTTTTGTGCCAATTTGTTAACGCTGTTCTATCGGCAGATTTTTGCCTGTCCGGTAGAAATTCGGTGAAAAAAATAATGGGAATGAATTAATTAGGGAAAATTTCATTAATCTTCGCGTCCCATTCAAATATTAATGCTCAAACGAACAAATTTTACCGTAGGCGATTTTATTATTTTATTGTTTATAACAAAAAAAAAAGGATTTTTATTAAGTTTCTGCTTTTCGGCGACTTTCGTTTTTTTATTTTTCAGGTATTCGTTACTTAATTAAATAAAAAAAATAATTAAAAAATAGTTTAGGTTTGAAATAATAAAAATTTACGTTAAGAATTACGTGCATTCATTAAAAAGCATTTATATTGTACTTTAATAAGTTTTATTAAAAATGGTGTGTTTCAAAATTCGTTTTATTTCGCTCATCCCTCGATTGTAATATCGCAACTGAATCTAGTGAAATTTTACTAGATCCGGCAACGCTGGGTATCTATTACAAAAGCCTATTAATTCGAGTTTAAGCATACTTAATTAATACGGGATGTCCCAAGAGTGCAGTAAAATTCGTTTTACAGACTAACACTAAGAAAAATATTTTAGAGATGTTTGTATTGAACTATTTGAGACGAATAAAATATACTTCTATAGGTAATTTAAATTAAAAATGGGGGGAATTTAATGACGATCAAGTGCAAAAAAAACTATGTGACTTGACAATAAAACATTGAATTATACAGGGTGTCCAGAAAATAGATAATTCGAGAGCGTATAGATGACATCAAAATAAGGGTAATTTAAATTTTGTACATTTGAGCCCCCTTGTTCTCTCTACTTATTATCTCGATCTAAAAATTGAATTCATTCTAAACGTACTATAAAATGTGTCAAATAATTGTTGCTATTGTTTCTTGGCTCTGACATTTATTTGTCAAATTTAAAGTTGATGAAATTGACAGTTTTTTCGTTTAAAGGACGAGCCATTGTCACTTTCATCAACTTTAAATTTGACAAATAAATGTCAGAGCCAAGAAACAATAGCAACAATTAATTTTAACACATTTCATAGTACGTTCAGAATTAATTCATAAATGTATCAATATGCCAGGGGGTTAAAACTAAATTGGTCTTCACGTGAATATGCGTTATTAAAATGTTTTCAAATTTGGTGATTGACTTAAGAATAAAATTACCTTTAAAACGAGGTGTCACTTGACCCTCCTTTCCATAAGAAATGGCACCTAACTGTCATTTTGAAAGTTTCAACTGTCATTTTTAAATCAAAAAATAGTATTTTTACTCCAATATAAACACCCCAAATTGCGCGACAAAAGCTCTTACCATTCAAAAGTTAAAGGGGGGATGACGGACTTTTAGTCCTCACTGTAGAGATTGTTCCCATAAAAGTTACTTATTTCGAACTAATTTTCAATTTTAAAAGCCTCTATAGCTCAAAAACGGCGGCTCAAATAAACACAATCTATGTAAAGGTGTACCCTTTTTTTAATGTCATCTATACGCCCTACATCTATTTCCTAGCCACCCTGTATATAAAAAAAACAAACAAATAAATAAATAAATAAAAATTGGACGAGTCCACACCGATTCGAACCACCCTCGACCGGGTAATAACCGACACGACACATCGAAATTCCAAAAAAACCACTAACGAGACCCTTTCCTTTTTTCTGTTGCAGACATGAAATGCTACAAGGTGTCCCAACTGTTCGAGCGCGTCGGCCAGATGGACGAACGTCGCCAATGCATTCTGTGCGGGAAAATCGTCAGCAACACCCGCAATCATTATTACGTGCACTTTCCCGGGCAGTATTCGTGCTCCTACTGCCCGGCCGTGTACACGCGCAGCGACACTTTGTTGTTGCACGTCAGGACGAAACATCCCACGGTGGCTTAGCCAATGTTGGCTTGCTAACGGGGCCCGTTTTGTGATTTGTTTTTTTTTTTATTTAATTTTTTTTCGTTTTGGGGATTTACCGTGCAATTACTTATCGCTATCGTCTTTCCAAAGTCAATTTAATATGGAGTTTTTTGTTGTATGGTCTTTCTAAAGTCAATTTAATATGGAGTTTTTGTTGTATGGTCTTTCTAAAGTCAATTGGAAATGGAGGTTTTGTTGTGTAGTCTTTCTTAGGTGAATTGGAAATGGAGGTTTTGTTGTGTAGTCTTTCTAAGGTCAATTGGAAATGGAGGTTTTGTTGTGTAGTCTTTCTAAAGTCAATTGGAAATGGAGCTTTTGCTGTGTAGTCTTTCTAAAGTCAATTGGAAATGGAGGTTTTGATAGTCTTTCCAAATAAGTCGATTTAGTAGGCAGTTTTTGCTGTTGTATTTCTAAAGTCAATCTGATAGGGATTTTTTTGTCGTATAGACTTTTAAAAGTCTATTTAAAATGGATTTTTTGTTGCACAATCTTTCCAAAGTCAATTTAATATAGAGTTTTTGTTGTATAGTCTTTCTAAAGTCAATTGGAAATGGATATTTTATTGTGTAGTCTTTCTAAAGTCAATTGGAAATGGAGGTTTTGTTGTGTAGTATTTCTTAAGTCAATTGGAAATGGAGGTTTTGTCGTATAGTCTTTCCAAATAAGTCAATTTGATATGCAGTTTTTGTTGTTGTCTTTCTAAAGTCGATCTGATAGGGATTTTTTTGTCGTATAGACTTTCAAAAGTCAATTTAAAAAGGGTTTTTTTATTGCACAATCTTTCCAAAGTCAATTTGATATAGAGTTTTTGTTGCATAGTCTTTCTTAAGTCAATTGGAAATGGAGGTTTTGTCGTATAGTCTTTCCAAATAAGTCAATTTGATATGCAGTTTTTGCTGTTATCTTTCGAAAGTCAATCTGATAGGGATTTTTTTGTCGTATAGACTTTCAAAAGTCAATTTAAAAAGGGTTTTTTTATTGCACAATCTTTCCAAAGTCAATTTGATATAGAGTTTTTGTTGCATAGTCTTTCTTAAGTCAATTGGAAATGGAGGTTTTGTCGTATAGTCTTTCCAAATAAGTCAATTTGATATGCAGTTTTTGCTGTTATCTTTCGAAAGTCAATCTGATAGGGATTTTTTTGTCGTATAGACTTTCAAAAGTCTATTTAAAATGGATTTTTTGTTGCACAATCTTTCCAAAGTCAATTTGATATAGAGTTTTTATTGTATCGTCTTTATAAAGTCAATTAGAAATGAGTTTTTGTTGTGTAGTTTTTGGTGTTGTATTTCTAAAGTCAATCTGATAGCGATTTTTTTTTGTCGTATAGACTTTCAAAAGTCTATTTAAAGTGGATTTTTTGTTGCACAATCTTTCCAAAGTCAATTTAATATAGAGTTTTTGTTGTGTAGTCTTTCTTAAGTCAATTGGAAATGGAGGTTTTGTTGTATAGTCTTTTCAAAGTCAATTAGAAGTGAGTTTTCGTTGTGTAGTCTTCCCAAAGTCAATTTGAAATGGAAATTATAATTGCATAGACTTTCAAAAGTCAATTTAAAATGGTGTTTTTGTTGTAGCCTTGCCAAATTCATTTTGAAATATTTTTTGTCGTCTTTCCAAACTCAATTTTAAATGGAGTTTTTGTTCTACAGTCCTTCCAAAGTCAATTAGAAGAGGAGTTTTTGTTGTGTGGTCTTTTCAAAATCAATGGGATATGGATTTTTAATTGCATAGTCTTTCAAAAGTCAATTTAAAATAGTGTTTTTGTTGTATAGTCTTTCCAAAGTTAATTTAAAATGGATTTTTCATTGCAGACTCAATTTTAAATGGTGTTTGTGTTGTACAGTCTTCCCGAAGTCAATTTGAAATAATGTATTTATTGTACAGTCTTTCCAAAGACAATTTAAAATGGATTTATATTGTATAGTCTTTCCAAGTCAATTTGATACTCTTCTTGAGTATAACTTTATGGTATAGTCTTTCTAAGCTCAGTTTGAAATGGATTTTGTTGCTGAATCTGGTGATATAGTCCTTCCAGAGGACCTTTAAAATATACTCAGTAACTGTATAGTCTTTCTAGAGTTACTTTAAAACCTTCTTCTCTTGCAACCTATCTATACACATATTGTATAGTCTCTCCAGTCGATTTAAAAATATATTTTTTATATTTATGATATAGTCTTTCCGAAATGATTTTAAATTCATGAAAATTGACTTAACTTTGTTAATACGAAGAGAATAACTTTCTACAAGTAGTTGGTATGGAGTATTATTGTATATTGGATAATTAGGGTAAATTTAAAACTTGAATTGACTTTAGAAAGACTGTAACGATTACCTCCAATTCTACTAATGACCATGTACTGGAAAGATATTTTATAAAGACTATAGGTACACAAAAACAAATCGATAATTTTCATCTGTAAATAGAAACTTATTAATTAGGAAGTCATCGAGCCAAAGATTACGGTTTTTATCAAATTTTATAGCAAATATTTTAATATACAGGGTGTGTCGTTATAGATATATCTCACACCCTGTATACCTTTTCCACTACTCCAATATTCTACTATAAATAATTCTAAAAAAATGCCGTAGTGGAAATTTTAAATCATTCGGTTTGCTAGTAAATAATCCTGGACCAGTTCTGAACAGTCGCGCGCTTTCGCAACATTATCAAAGCAAACCTGATGATGAAAATGATAAAGTTTGAAACGTTTTTTGTCAAATTACGCGACCTGTGATTCGAAATGATATTATTTCTGTTGAATGCTCATACAAGTGACAGTACTAATAAAAAAAATGGGATTTTAGCCATAAAACACGTGCCATATTTCGCGTCACTTGGAAATTTTCACGCCAAATTTGCCGAACTAGTCATGTCGTGTTTAAGCCAAAGAAATTTTGCCAAAATAAAGTAATTCTATTCTAAACTAGTCAGCTAGTTTTTAGGGAAGAAGAAGGGAAGAAAAGTCTTTTTATCTCGTCGTTTACGGGCGTAAATATATTGTAAATAATGTTCTATTGAGGAGTGAGAACTGACCGATTTTCTTGTACTATTTTAGATTTTATCAAATGTACATAATGTATTTTGGAATTATAATTTTTTTTACCTATTAACTTTTAAGATTATCGTGCAATTTAGTTCGTTAATTGATTAATTAGTTCGATTCGGTTGAATTCTATCGAAAAGAATATTTAACGAAGAAAATGTAACCAGGGTACCTAAATATTATATTATACAGGGTGTCCCAAAACGAGTTAAATTTATGTGGAAAACAGGGCGTACTATTTTTACGAAATATGTTATTAATTAAAGCTCTTTTTGTACGAATTATAAGAGCTTAATCATTAACAAAATTTTCATAAAAATATTTCTTCGTTAATACCCATTAATTAACTCGTTTTGGTCCATCCATTTTATTATTAAGTATTATTTATTTTATTCGCATCATATGTAAAATAGTTTTATCCGATTTTTAGATAAATTAAATGTTTCTTAATAACAAATCGCCTGTATTTTTTCTTCGCCTACAACTCCCCAACTGTACAGCAACAACATCTACCCCAATAAAACAATTTATCGATAAATAAATAAAAATTTTCATTTGCAAATTTCCAGAATCCATCAACGGGGGATCGGCGTTGTCCTACGTGGAAATGTTCGAGCCCTCTTCGACCAACATGCTCCTGTGGAGATGCAAATCCTGCGGCAAAGAAGTGACCAACAGATGGCACCACTTCCACTCGCACACGTCACAGAGGTCCTTTTGTCCTTATTGTCCTGCCACTTACAGCAGGATCGACACGCTCAGGAGCCACGTCAGGACGAAGCACACCATGTACTTGAACGCCAAGCATCTGTTGTAAGGACTTTTGTACAGGTGGATGTAAAAATATGTCTAAAAAATTTTTGTTGTTGTTCTATAGTTTATCTGAAGTCGATTAAATACGGTGCAAGTTGGCTAGTTTTGAATTGACTTTGGAGAGACTATACATTGTAAGTGTGTATACGAGGGGTGATCAATGTTTTTAGGATTAATATGTGTGATTTTTCGGTGATATTATTAAATATATACGTAATAATTTATTATAATATAGTATTTAGGGAAATTTTAGACTGCTTTCCGAAATTGCGCAGCTGTATTTATAGATGTTTTACAAGGTATAGATATAGCATTGAATTCATGGGACACTCTGTATCAAAAAGACCAAACGTACTCATAAAATATTAGTCAAGTAGTTACCGAGTTATAAATGTGTATCTAAAAGGCAAAAATTATTTATTCTGTGATACTGTGATATTATTTAACGTATTAACTATTTATTGTAGAATATATTCCATACATAATCGTATTTGATGTCGTTTTAGCTATAATTAATGTATTTTTTATAAAATGTAATGACTTCAAAATGGCGATTTCCTTTTCCCTTTTGAACGATTCCCTTCTTTCACCATGAAAAAAACGATAGAAAACCCTATAACATTCAAAATTTCTCAAGAAAACATAGAATTATGCAGATTTTCTATATCAATCTCCCTTTCTTTGGCTCGCTTCTTCTCCTTTCTCCACGCCTCGTAATCCTCATCATCTGTGGGCAACTCGTGGCGACATAATGGACACGAATTCGTCTAAAATAGACAAAAATTAATACAACAATAATCTTCTATTCCCAATAAATACCTTCGATAACCAAGGCAAGATGCAATCGTTGTGGTACAAATGCCCGCAAGGTAATTTCTTAGCAGTTTCACCCTGTACATGTTCTTTCAAACAAACCGGACATTGCGAATCTGCAATAATCGAAACGTCATACAGGATGTCCTATCTGAATAACCCACCAGAACAGGCAAATTTTCCTACCGAAGGAACACCCCATGTACTAGGTAAAATTATGAAAAGGTACCTTTCGCAGTGACGCTTTCGTCCGGTAGGGCTTCGACGGCGCTTTTGGACGCGGGAGGGGCCAATTTGGCCCCGTTCATGGCGTTCAATTCGTCGAACATATTGAAATCTCTGAGCAATCGGGCGAAATGTAAAAAATGATCGGGCGCTTGGCCGTCTTCCAAAGGCGTCCAGCCCATTTCTCCGAAATAATCCGCCATAATTAACACGTTTATTAACGCAAATCACCAGTAATTTGCATTCAAAACAAATTTCGCAAATAATTCTGACGTTGACGTTTATTAAGTAAGGTTAGTTTCTTCTTGTCATGTCACTTGTCGTAGAATAAGGTCTATGTTATTGGAGTTGTTCGGTAACATTAGTATATATTAGTCTTTTTGATTTTATTTAAGTTTTTTACGTAAAAAGAATTTAATAACTTTTGTTTTTTTAATGAAACAAAACTACAAATAAAAAAAGAATAAACTTTCGTTGACATTTGATACCTGTCAAATTTGTTTAAGTTAGCTCACGGTCGTACATTATAAGGTCTGGAAACTCAGTTGTAAATCGGGTAGTTCCTAAAATGTACAGAAGATACAGGATGATTCACTGTGATTATGAGAATTGAATTAAATCAACCGTTATAATTATCTTGTATAAAATACCAATATCCCTACTATCGCTACATAAATATTTCAACACCAGGAAGCGTCTAAGAGGCATTTTCCTTGGAACCACCTGTACAAAAGTTGATTTTCCGGTGAATACGTCTCGATATTGATTCCTTTATAGACTTGCTCCTGAGTCTAAAAATTACAAAATAATCAGTAAATAAAATCGTTAAGAAACAACTAAAAACGTACCATCAACGGTGGAAACAATCTCTTGCAATCACCCCGCCGGAAGTGCTCCTTAGCGGCCTCTACCAATACGGCCCTGGTTTCCGGCGCCAGGCAATTCTTGCACAATTGGCACTCCAATGACATGCAACTGGATCGGCAGGCGTTGCTGTTGCAAATGTCCGGAAACACGGCGATAGTTTTATCCGATGCGATCATGTCTTCTTCGGATTTCGACCTGGAAAATTCGAAAATTCGCTAGATAATTTATTTGGCCACCCTGTAGAATGGAATTCTGAACATAATGGCCCACATTTTCAACGCTAATCAATCACTGAATGAGTCTCTTTAACATAAACTATGCGCCTTTAGTTACTCCATAACAACAATGTAAAACTGTCAATTGCAAGAATCTCCTTAGTTACTCCATAACAACAATGTAAAACTGTCAAATTGAAAGCATCTCCTTAGTAACTCCATAACAACAATGTAAATCTGTCAATTGCAAGAATCTCCTTAGTTACTTCATAACAACAATGTAAATCTGTCAATTGCAAGAATCTCAATGCAAAACTGTCAAGTTAAAAAGAGCGCTGGATAAGGGCCACTGTGAATTTCGGTGTTTTGAAATTTACTTTAGTAAAACTACTACCTTACAGCTAACGAGTTCCTGTAAATATTCTCCCCAATCCCGACCAGTCCCAGGACGTTGTACAGGACCTGCTGATACAGCAATTTGTTGGGCCTGAAGTGCGCTGAGGATAAATTAGGGCTCATGTTCGCTTCCAGCAAGTACACTTTCAGATTTTCGTCGATCACGAAATCGAACCGTACCAATTCGAAGAAGTTCCTCTTCGATTTAAACCTGAAACGAACGCACCGCTACATATACAGGTTGTCCTGCAACCGTACTACTTTCGACGTATAGTCCTTTTCAAGATATAGTAGAAAATGACTTTATAAGCTGATGAGTTTATGACTACCCGGTGCTGTTTAGGGTACACGCCGTACTCGCCGGTCGAAGGACGCAGAACCGAATTTTAAGTTTGGTACATTCGCTGCGGCTAAGCGGCGATGCAAAATAATCATTAAATAACATTTCTTAAGTTCTTACCTGGAAATGTAAATACTGTTTACCACCCGACCCGACCGAAGTGCTTCAACGTTCCATTGTATCGATATTAGGAAAGTCATTACTTTATTGCTATAATCCCTAAGCTCTCACGCCTCTTTTCTACTATATCTTGAAAAGGACTATACCTCTTTAAAGCCTCCACAATTTGCGATTCTTTGGCCAAAACCACCCCCCGAATGGCCTCTTCGGTTTGTTGCCAAATGACGGCGGGATCGCGACTCTGCGATCTCAAGTAGGCGTCGAGGGTGTCCCTCATCCCCAAACCCAGGGTGTTGTAATAGTAATCGAAAGCCGGTACTTCCCATACCGGTAGATAATCGTCGCCTACTACATATTTATCTACGATTTTCGGGTCGAACGGGTGGTATTTCACCGGACAAAACCTGCAAAATAAACGCTCATTCAGGTCGATTCTGTTTGGATCTTGTTATGAATCTTGCTATGATAACCATGTTGTTATATGTTTAAGTTATAACAATATTGCCAAAAATTTTCTTATTCTGTTTCGATTAGTTTAGCAATGTTGGTTATATTTTTAACGCTTAACCATATTGCTAAAAACATGCTGTCTTTAGTGAAAAATAGAGCTGACAAAAGAAGAATCCTCCCTAAAATTTTTTATTTTACGATTACAATTGACGCCATTGAAGGCAGTTTTTCATGTGTTTCTGCGGAAGCGGAGGCGGTTTTTATAAAATGATGAAAGGACTAACAAAGAAAACAAGCAAGAAACAAATGGAAGTAATAGTAATAGTTAAAAAAATAAAAAAATTTAAAACCCAAAAAATATGAGTAATTATTTTTATCATACATTTCTGAACCAGCGCAACTTGTAGATGAAAAGGTGTTGTATCTCTTCGGAATGGTTCTTCTAGAACTTCTAACAACTGTTGAATTAAATTTAAAGCTGTAGCCTTATTTAAGTTTTATAAATTTTGCATTTAGCAAATCAAAGGGGTTACTTGTATCTCGCATTTGCAAAAAATGTAAACTCTTAGCTCATTTAGTAATGAAAAAAGACCGGATTAGCCATATTGCTATCAAATAGCAAGTACAAAAATGACATTGTTCAAATAGCAAGATTTATAACAAGATATCTTCACTAATGACAGATCATATTGTTTAAATTACACGAACAGAATAGGTTATTTCTTAGAACATTGCTAACATAACAATATCTTTACATAATAACCAATAACCATATTGCTATTTACAAACAAAATCGACCCGATTAAATACTCGATTAATTACGATGAATTATAATTACCTTAATAGACCTTCTCCGTTGTAAATGTAGAGTCTCAATGGTTCTACTGAGGTAATTACGGCGTAAATCCCTATATCGAATCGATGACCGTTTACCAATAGAGGTTTATCCACGTACTCCTGTAGAAACGTACCCTCTTCGTCCAGGTTAATTTCCGACGGGTTTTTGATCGTCACGTGCCTGTGATCGTTATTTTTCTGCACGAAAGTAACGTTAGGATGCCTCTTCGCGTAGCCCAACAACTTCTCCTTGTCCACCGGTAATTTAAATGCCGGAGGAATGAACGGCAAACCGCTGGTAGCCAAGCTCACCTTATTCGTTATGTGCCCGCAACCTGCATTTCAATTACGAGGGCGAATCAAATATGAACCGGAATTTTGCTTTAAAAAATTTATTATTCAATTCATCAAAAAGTTGGCAGAGTACACCCTTAAATTCACGTCATTCATTGAGAAAATTTATGAGCTATGTGCTCCCTGCAATCCTAAAAAATCGTTGCAAGAACTTTCCCAGGAGAAAGACGAATCTTGTCGTTTTGCATTCCTGCTCTTCCAGTTTTTCACAATTTTTTTTTCGAATCGTAGACATGGATCCTTGAAAGCATGTTTCCAGTGAACTGTGTAGTTACTCGACGCGAAATTTTGGCAAGTTTTACGCTTTCCCGCGATAAAAATTTTAAAATTAATCCGTTGCTCAACGGACCTGTGCACCTCTTGCTCAGACATGATGGTACTAATAACAGCCATTCGGCCTAACGAGGCAAACTGATTTACCCACCTTTACATTACATCCCCATGCAACATACAGGGTGTTTCATTGGGAAAGGGCAATATTTTAACCCTATATAGAGGTCACCCAGGGGATTACAAAAAACCCATATACTATGGGACTTGAGCCCTTTATGACCGAGTTACAGGGTGTTTTTTTGAATTTGACCCATTTCTTTTGATATCTATAACTTTTGAATCACTCGGTATATTTTTTTGATATTTGGCATAGATATTCTATACCTTTAGGACAATTTATTGCCATATTAAAAAAATTAAAAAAACCAGGTCCGGATTTAGAAAAATTATTAAAATTTGACCGACCCAAAAACAACACCCTATACATCATATTTTTAAAAATTGAATTTCAAATTCAGAAAGAGCATAAAAAACTGAATGTATTCATCAACTTTTTATTTTCTCGCATGCCGTTTTCTACCAAAATTTAAACGTTAAAATGTACATTATGAGATTTTTGGTCCATGTAAAATGTAATTGAAGGGATTTTAATTATTTTTTCCTTAATAAAACCAGGTTTACTTAAAATAAATAATAAATAAATATAAAAATTACAATTACAGATCCGCACTTAATAAAATTAAAATGATTTCAATTTATTTAATAATTAATTATTGATTAATCAATTTTTACATTTCTACATGAGAAAATTCAAAACTTAACTAAGTAATTTACTAGATTTTTCAAAAAAGATAGTAGATTAAGTATTCTTTTCCACACCGCCAAGAGGTAGAACTACCTCTACTAAATCCCCGACTACTAAATCTACCAACTAAATCCGGATTCTAAATCCGGACCTGGATTTTGTAATTTTTTAATATGGCAATAAATTGTCCTAAATGTATAGAATATCTATGCCAAATATCAAAAAAATATACTGAGTAATTCAAAAGTTATAGATGTCAAAAGAAATGGGCCAAATTCAAAAATCACCCTGTAACTCGGTTATAAAGGGCGCAAGACCCATAGTATATGGGTTTTTTGTAATCCCCTGGGTGACCTCTATATAGGGTTAAAATATTGCCCTTTCCCAATGAAACACCCTCTATATCAAGACGTCATATTACTCACCTTTCATAGGGATCGTTTAAAAGAAAATTCCGGTTCACATTCGATTCGCCCTCGTAATTCACCGATACATAAAACGCGCCGAGAAAACACTCACCGGGAAAATGGTTGACCCGCTGGTGGTCCTTCAGATCGGCCAGCTCGTCGTAGAGCCGGCTGAAGGGGTAGTCGTGCGCCCACAGCAGGTCCCAGTCGGAGCCGTTGTCGCCCGATCGCCGGTAGCCCAATCTCTCGAGCACGGCGAACACCTCCCGCAAGTGGGCGACGTCGGGCGTTCTGCCGTAGGCGCGGAAGCTCTTCCGAGGGCCCGACGAGGTCGCGGGCGCCGGCTCGTCCTCCGCCGCCTTCTGGAAGCACTGTCTGCATTCGTCGGCCGCTATGACTAGGACGGTTATGGCCGATACGGCGGCTACGAAGGTGGCCAGGAAGAAGTATTTTTCTACCGCCGAGGGATGGGGTTTGACGGGGGCGGGGTGGTGGCGGGGACGCGGCGCCGTTTCCTGCTATAGAAGATTGATCGAACTGTATAAACAGTACAGTTTTGTGCATAAACAGTACAGTTTTGTGCATAAACAGTACAGTTTTGTGCATAAACAGTACAGTTTTGGGCATAAACAGTACAGTTTTGTGCATAAACAGTACAATTTTGTGCATAAACAGTACAGTTTTGTGCATAAACAGTACAGTTTTGTGCATAAACAGTACAGTTTTGTGCATAAACAGTACAGTTTTGTGCATAAACAGTACAGTTTTGTTCATAAACAGTACAGTTTTGTGCATAAACAGTACAGTTTTGTTCATAAACAGTACAGTTTTGTTCATAAACAGTACAGTTTTGTGCATAAACAGTACAGTTTTGTGCATAAACAGTACAGTTTTGTTCATAAACAGTACAGTTTTGTGCATAAACAGTACAGTTTTGTGCATAAACAGTACAGTTTTGTGCATAAACAGTACAGTTTTGTGCATAAACAGTACAATTTTGTGCATAAACAGTACAGTTTTGTGCATAAACAGTACAATTTTGTGCATAAACAGTACAGTTTTGTGCATAAACAGTACAGTTTTGTGCATAAACAGTACAGTTTTGTGCACAAACATACACTGTGATTCATTCCAGATCGCAACATGCTCGTTTCTATGAGTTGAACAAAGAAAGATTAATAAAATGACAGGTGTCAGAGTGCAATGAGTTGCAAATGACCTAAATATCACTGTTTCTTTTTCCTTTACAAGTGACTAATGGAAGTTGTCTTTATCGCACCTATGGCCTACAGGACCTATGTTGCGATCTGGAATGAAGCACAGTGTATACATTTCAAAGTACCATTAATTATTTATCGATCCCGGTACAAGTTTGTTGCGATGTTGCAGAAATTAATTTGTAACAAGAAATGTTGTAAATAAGAATCTTGTAAATGTTCAATAATTCATCGCATAGCATCTAGGATAGGATGGAGATTAATAAACTAATGATAAACTACCAAAAAAAAACTAGATGAACTAGATATGCTCGATTTTGGCACACTTACTAATCGCAATTCATATAATTCATATTATTTTATGATTATACAGGTTGTCCCGAAATTGTTTCACAAGAATCGACTGAACTATAAGGGTAAGGTGAAAAGTTCTCGGTCCAACTATGAAAGACCGCAATTTTCAGTTAAAAAATTACATTATTCCAGACAGTTCTAATTGATTCTGGAGCGTTGTAAATGATTCTAAACATAAATTCTAAATGATTTTAAAGCTTTCTAAATGGTTCTAAACAGTTTTAAATGATTCTGGAGCGTTATAAATGGTTCTAAACAATTCTAATTGATTTTGAAGCTTTCTAAATGGTTCTAAAAAGTTCTAAATGATTCTGGAGAATTCTAAATGATTCTAAACAATTCTAAATGATTCTGGATGTTTCCAAATGGTTCTAAACAGTTCTAAATAATTCTGGAGCGTTCTAAATGATTCTGAACAATTCTAAATGATTTTGGAGCTTTCTAAATGGTTCTAAACAGTTCTAAATGATTCTGTAGCGTTCTAAATGATTCTAAACAATTCTAAATGATTCTGGAGCTTTCTAAATGAATCTAAATAATTATTAATTATTCTGGAGCTTTCTAAATGGTTCTAAACAGTTCTAAATGATTCTAGAGCGTTCTAATTGATACCGGAGCGTTCTAAATGGTTCTAAACAGTTCTAAATGATTAACACTGAAAACTTTTCACCCTCTCCTACAGGGTGTCACTAAAAATAATCGAGCGCACTTCCAAAAAAGCGACCCTTTTAAACAACTTTTACTTAAACAAAAATTACTGGCCCAAATAATTCTAAGAATCTATCTACTTACATGGAGTATCTCCCGCTGCTCATCTTCGATGAGATCCGTTTCATTTTTTGTCATGACTACCGCGACGGCTAGATCGGACTAGATTTTTTCTTCGGCCCGTTCGGGCATTTTGTACACGTTAGCAAAGGACGCGTGATCGCCCGAATTCGTTGGGCTAACGGTACCGGAGAGAGATGGGCTATCAGGTGAGAGTTCCTCATCGCTTCTCTCTACGCATGTTGATACATTTACATTACATACGGTTGTTCCACTTCTTTGATCGCCTGCTCGATCGCGATCGCGTTTTCCTGTAATGCTGGTTGCCTATGCACCAGTGGAGGGTTTCCTTCAGCGCGAAATTCAAGGCTTGTTTAAGGAAATTAACGGAAATCGATCGATTATTACACGAGTTTTACACGTGTTTTCTTTATTTTTATGTATAATTAGGCAGTAATAATCGAGGTATGATTAAAAATCTGTGAATAAAAATTACTACTGAATTCGATTAGCTGGATTTGTTGGAGACTTTTTATTATATTTCTTAACATACTGGCATTACAATATTACACTATACATATACAATATTAGATTTGTGTCTGATGATAATATCTACCGGATTCGTTTACTTTCATTTTGTATTTAATGTTTATTTTCTTAGTAGATTGAGTGCTCGTGTCTTTGTGAATTGGTCTTGATAATACGTTAATTTTGTCACTGTTTCTATTATATTGATGGTTTTTATCATTATTTCTGTCGGTTCTTGTATTAGATTCGTTAACTTTGTTTCGATTTTTGTGGTAACTTCTATTAGATTCGTTAATTTTACCAGTATTACTGTGGATTTTCCTATGAGATTCATCAATTGTGTATTCATTTTTGTGGATATTCTTATTAGATTCGCGAATTTTATTACTATTTATATCGTTTTTCATATGAGATTGATTAACACTATCTCTATTTTTATTGATATTTTTATCGGATTCATTAATTTGATCATTATTTCTATCGTTTTTCATATGAGATTGATTAACACTATCTCTATTTTTATGGTTATTCTTATGAGATTCATTAATTTGATCGTTATTTCTTTCGTTTTTTCTATGAGATTGATTAACATTATCTCTATTTTTATGGATATTTTTATGAGATTCATTAATTTGATCATTATTTCTATCGTTTTTCCTATGAGATTGATTAACATTATCTCTATTTTTTTGGATATTCTTATGAGATTCGTTAATTTCGTCGATTTTTCTATTAGATTCTTTAGTTTGACCTCTATTTTTGAAGGTATTTATACTACTTTCTTTAAATTTAACCCTAAGTCTCTTCAAATTTTCATTACTTTCCTTGAATTTTACTTTATTGTTCTTGATATTCCCATCAATTTCATTGTTTCTGGTTCTCTCGGGTCTATTTTTACTAAAGTTGCTTCTGCTTTGTTTAATTTTACCTCCATTTCTGGCAAATTGGTCAATTTTGTTTCTGTTTTTGTTCATACTTCTCGAACTTCCCCGCATTTTAATTTTGTTACTGTTTAAACTTTTACCAGATGCTTTCGATTTGATTTCATTTCTGCTTCTTTTCTGAATTGTTCTATGAATTTTATCAGTGCTTTTGATGATTTTGTTAGCACTTTGTTTCATTATAACTCTGCCTTTGTCGACGCTTCTGCGATTTTCAGGAATATGATTTCGATTTCTGGAAGTATATCTGCCATATTCGTTAATTTTATCTATTTTTTTATAACTAATCCTTGATCTATTAAGTTTACCAGTATTTGTGTTAATGTTTTTATTGAAATTTCCATAAGAATAATTGCTTTTGTCTCTATTTCTTTGTACGTATCTTCCAGATTCGTTAATTTTGCTTCTGTTTCTAATTGTTTCGTCAAATGCCCCATCGAATTTTCCTCTGCTTTTGTTCAAATTCTTTCCACTTTCAATAATTTTAAGTTTACTATTTCTATAGGCAGTTTTTCCATAACCTTTAAATTTTCCAACATTTTCCTCGGTTTTCCTTCCATGTACGTCGATTCTCATGCCAGTTTTGCCGAATTTTCTCCCAAATTCATCTTGATCAAGTTCCAAAAGGTCTTGTTCCAAGTGCTAATGCTGCTAATTTTTTATATTCATCGTACCTAATCATATGATTCTTTTTATTATTTCTTTCGGTCTTTGTGATTCCCGACAGTTGACAATGCGTCAAATTGACGCCATGTAATTACAATTAATCAAATTACATGTAATTTAAAATGAGTATTAATGATTAATAAATTAATTAAAGTGCAAGTTCGATGAAAAATGAAGAAATTTCGATATTAATTTGGGAGAAAAAAATTTGTTTGTAACATTATTTCGTGGAATATTCGATTCGATTGAATTTTTAGGTAATTTTTGGTTATTTTTTTTGTTGAAATGTCTGAAGATGTGGTCGAAATTCATTACTTCAGAATTTTATTCGAGATAATTATTGCCAATTTAGGTAAGTGTTAATGATAAATGTGTAAATTTAAAGGCCAGTTTCCCTTTATTTTTGTTAATTACTCTCTTCAATGAGCTTCAATTTTATCTCTAATTTTGTATTTCTCTAACATTTTTCTGTTTTATTTGCAGTGGGCTGGTCGAATTATTTCGTTAGTCAATGGGCCACCCCTTATCGCAGGGGATTATTCTGCGACGATCAAACCATCAGGTATCCCTATAAGGACAGCACGGTTAAATTTAACATAATTTTATTGATCGGTTTCGGTCTAAACGGCATTACTGTAAGCATATAGTTTTAACCCCTCCTAACTGTTATTTTCTCCCCATTGTTCCCCACAACTTTCAGATGCTCTTCACCGAATACCTAACGAGAACACCCGACAAAAAGGTCCTCATCTTCGGCAGGAAGTTCCCCTTCTGGTGCTACTCCTTCTACCGCTCCTTCGCCATGTTCACCTTCGGAGACATGATCCTCTGGGGCGCCACCGACAGCATCAAGTATTTGGGGGGCCGGCTGAGGCCCCACTTCTTCGTCGGCTGTCTGCCCGACGTCTGCTTCGAACGGTACGGCCCCAACGAGTTCTACGAGAACTACAAGTGCATGAACGAGGAGCAAAAGCAGCTGAGGTAGAGATGGCTAGTGAGGGGGTCGAGGGACGGGACCCTTCGCGAGGCGGGTTTAAATTCGGTCGGTTTCGAACGGGAAAAAGGCCGGTGCGCGGGTAAAGGGGGACGGGGGGTTCGAAAATCGATGTTCGGGAAGTTTTGGAGGTTTTTTTAATATGTCTATTGTTCTGTTACAGATTGTCCTTTCCATCCGGTCACACTTGCTTCTCCATCTACTGTATGGTCTATTTCGCGGTACTTATCATTCTATTTTTCGCGAAAATAATCATTAAAATGCATGATTGTAGCTCTACATACACACTCGAATAAGCGTTCCCGGTACAAGATTGTTGAAATTCACCGTGCAATATGTTGCATTAATGTCCGCTGTTGCAGTCAGCATGACCAGAATATCGGATTACAAACATCACGTCAGCGACGTTATTGCCAGTTTTTTCTTGGGATTAGCTGCAGCCGTTACTGCCGTAAGCATTCCATCTGGACTGTTCCGAGGAGTCCCGAACAGTCCAGAGCAGTTCTGAATCAGTCTTAAGTAGTTCTGGACAGTTCTAAACAGCGTTGAATAGTTCTGAACACTCTTGAACAGTTCTAAACCAACTGGAATAGCTCTAAAGGCTGTTTGATTAGTTTCGAATTTTGTTCAAGAGTTCTGGATAGTTCTGAACATTCTTGAATAATCTTAAACAGTCTTCAATTAGTTCTGAACACTCTTGAATAATCTTAAACAGTCTTCAATTAGTTCTGAACAGTCTTAAGTAGTTCTGAACAGTCCTGAGTAGTTTTGGACAGTTCTAAACAGCCTTGAATAGTTCTCAACACTCTTGAACAGTTCTAAACAAACTGGAATAGCTCTAAAGACTGTTTGATTAGTTTCGAATTTTGTTCAAGAGTTCTGGATAGTTCTGAACACTCTTGAATAATCTTAAACAGTCTTCAATTACTTTCTGAACAGTCTTAAGTAGTTCTGAACAGTTCTGAGTAGTTTTGGACAGTTCTAAACAGCCTTGAATAGTTCTAAACACTCTTGAACGGTTCTAGACAAACTGGAATAGCTCTAAAGACTGTTTCATTAGTTTCGAATTTTGTTCAAAAGTTCTGGATAGTTCTGAACATTCTTGAATAATCTTGGACAGTCTTCAATTAGTTCTGAACAGTCCTGAATTGTTCTGAACAGTAGTTTTGAATAGATCTAAGGGTTGTTTCAATAGCTTATAATTTTGTCCAAGAGTTCTGGATAGTTCTAAACAGTCCTAAATAATCCTGAACAGCCTTGAATTAGTTTAGAACAGTCCTGAATTGTGCTGAACAGTGCTGAGTAGTTTTGAACAGCTTTGAATAGATCTAGAAGATGTTTTAAATTTGTTCAAGATTTCTTTATAGCTCCAAACTCTATAATTGTCGCAAGCGTTCATTAAGAGGAGTTCAGAACAGTTCTGAGCAATCTCGAATAATCCTCGAACAGTCTTGAATTAGTTCTGAACAGTTTTGGTCCAATTTTTCAGACGGTTTACGCATCAGATTTGTTCAATTTGTCGAAAACTGGAACTTCTAATAATTCGGATCGAAGTGATCGAAAGAGCGTCGAAAAGATTCATAAATCGAAGAATGCGTCGAAGCGTGCCGTGGACAAGGAGGCGCATGCGCAGAGGATAGAGCAGATGATCGGGGAAAATCGGGAGAAAAAAGGGGGAGACGTGGTGACGGAATCGTCGAAATGTTGCGAGTGCGAATGCGAATGCGATATTGTAACTTTAAAAAAAAACTGTTAATAATCCATAAATTTAGTTACATTTTTATTTTACACTAAAAAAAAGACAGTTGACAGTTGTGTCAAAGTGACATGATATTGAAAAAAAACAACAAGTGTCAAATATCAACGATTTTTATTTATAAATCATTATTAATTAGTAATATTAAGGGTATCGGTTGTAATTAAAGTTCGTATAAATTCATTACATGGCTAATTAGGTACTAATCGTACTAGATTAATTCGCTATTACAAAAATAGTCGCTCTTATTTGAGTTCCCCAATCTCTAATATCTCTAAAATTAAATTGAAAAAAATGCAAAAATTACTCGTGTCATAACAAACTGAAAAAAAGTCGAGAAAACAAGTACAATAAAAAGTAAAATCACCCTGTATAAATATCACATTTTTTATCAGGCGTTTCTCGACCTGGTCTGTTGTAATTGAGCGCTCAATATCATCGTTTTCTCTCCTAATCTGGCGTTGTGTTCCTTCAGAAAGGTGATCAAATCGGCCTGGACAAATACATTTATTAATAAAACTAATACTCACGTTTTATTCGCTTTATTAAGCGTTTTATTAACAGTTTTAGTACCTGTTTTTCCAGCAAATCGTAGACCTTATCACCGAGCTGTCTGTAGCCAACTTCACTTTGCGTCAAGGCCTCCGGCGATGTTGTATTCGTCCATTCTTCCTTTTGGACGTCCGGTAGAGGTTTCTGCTTGTTGAATTTCCACACTTGCACTGAAACAAATAACAAGACACATCCTTTTTATAAAATAATTACACGTTGAAGTGCATGGCTCTAGTTTAGTTGCTGTTCGGGTCCAAGGGACGTAGCCCTTTATCACGCAACCTTAAAATTGCTCGTTTTTGAGCAGGAAAAAGAGCGATTCGTAGGTAAACAAGATCGCTGAACTCGAAAATTCACGTTTCGGTTCCCTAAATCTTCATCTTCAGGTCGTTTATTATAAAAAAAGCGCTACTTACTGATGTAATTGACGTTAATTCCGACAATGGCGCAAAATTCCAGAGATATGATGGAGCATACGTAGGAAATGGGAGACAGCGTGCCGCCATCCAGGCATTTCTGACCGAAATCGTCCGGGTAAAAGTGTTGCATTAAAGTTTGCACAAACATCAATGCGACAGTGAACAAACTGACGGCGTAAAACGGCAAGCTGGCGTGCAATTTGGTCTTCCTGTAGAATTCCAGGTAGCCGTTGAGTCTCAGGGAATGATGGTGGCATTTGACGATTTGATCTAGTGCCTGATGAAAACAAATTGAATTAGATGGGGTCAAGGGACGGGACCCTTTTGATACGCGAGTCCAATTTTTGTTGTTTTCGAGCGGGAAAAAAGGTATTTATAGGTAACCGATGATGGGGGTTTTGAAAATCGACGTTTCGATCACCTCAGAAGTAATCTTCAAGGAGCTAGGTTAGGTTTGTGGGATTCTTATCAGTTTCAAATGTAGCATGTATAAAACCGTATTTACCAGCGTAAGAAACCACAGTCCGATATGCAAGTAGATTATCAAGAAGTATTCCCTGCATTTGTGGGTCTGATCAGGATGATTGATAGCATAAACGATAGCTATAATTTCCACGATTAATGTGAAAACTAAGTGGACAGTGAAATGTGGAATGGTTTTAAGCGGCTTGAAGACCCCGTATGAATCCAGAATGGGCTGGAGGTGCTGCCTGTCGTCCATATTAACGGATTCACTGAAAAATGTGGCGCCCTGGAAAGGAATATTTGCAGCGAATTTAAATAGTAAGTACGTCATAATTGAGGGTGCTTACGCCTGAATTGGTGTTGAAACTTCTTGATAGGCTCACCATTTTACGATTTCGGTTATCATTATCACGGTTCGAGGGTTAATTAATGAATAAAATTGGGTTTGTTTTGATTCGGTCACGAATGTGTCACGTTTATTTTTGATTTTTTAGGATGACAGATGTCAAAAGAAAACAGCGAAAACAACTTGCTGTATTTCCGAATAGTAAAAGATTAATATATCGAGGGACGAACAGATCTGGAAACCATAGACAAAATATAATCTTTCTTTATGCATGTTGGAAACTGTGCGTATTTTATAGCAAAATTATTAAATAAAAGACCGGGCCATTTATTATTCTTATTCTTCTATTTGACATTTGACGTACTTGACACTTTTGAATTTTGTTTTTACTGTTTTTATTGCTTTTTTCACTGTTATACAAGTTTTCCAAAAAAAGCTTTTGCAAATTGATTATCATCTAAACGATTCATAATCTTTCTTTTATATACAAAAAAAGAATACTTGTACTTTGACATTTTGTTGCCTTGTGCTTAACCAATCAACAGTCACCCCATATATATCGAAACGTCACCTATCTGTCACCTGTCACTTAACCTCAAACACAATTCATTGACCCCAACTCCAAGTATTCGTTAAATATTTCATAAAAACTCCCAATTTTTCATCAATACGCTTTGATAGCGCAAACCGAAAATGCCAGCGGCCATCCAAGAAAGCGCCGCCAAGGCGTCCGATCACTCGGAGCAAATGTGGAAAGTACTGAAGGCCCACATTCTGCGAGAAAGGGCGAGAAAGAAGCAAGAAAGGGAGCAGGAAGTGGAAGAGGAGCGATTGCGTAAAGAACGCGAAGCCCGAGAACAGCAGGACGTGATGACGCTGGGCGAAACTAGAGAGCAAATCTCCCAGCTCGAACAGAAACTGACCCAATTAAAAGAGGACAAACACCAACTGTTCCTGCAACTCAAGAAAGTCCTTAACGAAGATGACAATCGAAGGAGACTGAAAGAAAATATGTTAGTATACATTTCTATCGATTCATATTGTTTTTGCATGTATCTCGTTTCAGGGAATATCAAAATATCGAGCGAAATATCGAGCGAATATCGAAGCTTCTACCACCTAATATGGTGCAACAACAATTATACATACAACAACAGCAGCAACAACAACAACACCAACAACAACAGCCTCCGCAAGCCGCTAGACTGGCCCCGATGCCTCAGCAACCGCCCCAGCCGCCTCCCCCAGCGGCTTTCAAGCAAACGAAACGACCTCGAAGCCCCAGCCCGCCTCCGCAGGTACCCGTCTCCATGTACCACGGGTACGGGTACAAACCGCCCGGCGTCGGACCGTCCTCCTATCAAAACTCCCCGCAGAGTAAGTTTAGTATTTGATCGAAAAGCGATCGCAAGATGTAGCGCGTAGAGTTTCGTATATATAATTTTCTCTTGTTTGCAGAAGATGACGGTAGACGTAATGAGTTAGTAAGAGCGGTTCTTTGGAACAGTGAGTTTGTTGATTTATTTAGCTTTTTAGCTGTTGTTTAAGTATTCATTTTGCTTTTGAATTAGATTTTGAGTGCAATGAGTAATTATTCTTTTATGATATTATGTGTGAAAAAGTTGGCAACTTATGGGAAACTTTTTTATTTCTAATGTTACGATAAAATTTATTCTTTACGAAAAGGTCTGCATAGCTAATAAAACAAAAGGCAAATGTCAATGTCAGATGTCAATTTTTTAAATCGTATACGACGTTTGTCAAAAAATTTGAATTTGATACAAGAGTAGAGTACCTTTATTTTTTACAATATTGAAAACATGTTTTCATATGCATTTCAGCTACTTCTTGAATTACAATTACTGACGTTTTCAATTATGGTTACATTCACACTAACTAGATGGAATGTATTATTTATTTCTCGAAAGCTTTTACTAGACTGACTTTCGGTAAGAAAAATGTCATTGTCAGAGTCACCTATATTTTAAATAATGTAGTTTACTTTTGTGTATTACCGTAGAAATTACATTATTCTGTTGGGTATTACTTATTTATTACTGATTTAAGTTCATTGCTGAAATATTTCAAAACAACAAATGAACATTTGTGGTGTATTGAATTGTTAAATAAGATAAAAGTTTCAGACGTGTTTCACAACTAAAATTTGCAAAATTTAAGTGATCAAAATATTCCTATTAATCTTTTTGCAATTTCGTGACACATTGTACATCTAATATCAAATGTAAATAACAAAATATTATTATCTTCGAAAGCTGAGATTTTCATAAAAAATAACTTTTTTTTCGTAAAACTTACAATAAAAAGTTTCCCGTATGATGCCAACATTTTCAGACATACTGGCCCGTATTCAGCGACCCATTTTAACTTTAGAGTGACTCTAAAGTCGCGTCTTTAACTTGACAGATTTACATTGTCGTTATGGAGTAACTAGGGACTCGAGACGCGACTTTAGAGTCACGCCTAAAATGGGTAGTTGAATACGGGCCACTATGATTAATTACCATATGATTAATCGCGGTAAATATCCACAGAAACCCCGCAATACAGCAACCAGCCGAGCGCCTTCTACCCGGTGGCGCCGCAGGAATTGGCCCCCATGTATTACTCGATCAACAGGGAGCCGGCGAGGAGCGTGTACGAAACGCCACGATTGCAATCGTACCACATCGATCCGAAGCTGCCCGATCACTACGCGATGCGGACGCCCGGACCGCACCCCGGCCACGGTCTCCATCCCGCCTCCATGCCCGTATCGCAGCAGACGCCGCCCAAAAGCGGCGGCGGAGGCGGCGGCGGCGGTTATCCGGTGCGCAGCCAGCCGCAGTACCAGCAGAACCAGGCCCCTTCGATTTTGTATACAGCCCAAACGCGACCGTTGTACCAGCCGCCCGTCAACGTTAATTACCCGCCGAGGGATTAGGATTGTTATCTGTAATTTAATGTAATTGTATGTGTTACAATTAAAATGGAAAATTAGTTGGTTTCGTTGCTAGGCAGTTAATAATAGATTATACGTGAATGTAAATTAGTCTCCCTACCGAAATCCTTAGATAATGATCCCTACTCTTAGATAATGATCCCTATTCTCAGATAATGATCTCTACTCTTAAATAATGTTCCTTACTCTTAGATAATGATCCCTTCTCTTATATAATGTTCCTTATTTTCAGAAAATGCTCTCTACTCTTAGATATTGTTAATTCCTTACTTTTACATAATGATACTTATTCTCAGATAATCTCTACTCTTAAATAATGTTCCTTACTCTTAGATAATGATCCCTTCTCTTATATAGTGTTCCTTACTCTCAGAAAATGATCTCTATTCTCAGATAATGATCCCAATTCTTATATAATGATCCATTCTCTTATACAGGGTGGCCCAGAACTCACGCCCCACCGGGAAATGCCTTATGGAAAGGACAATGGAGATGGCAAAACTGCAGTCGAAAACGTGAAAAATTTATTCCTTTGGTAAATAAAGAGGTTCAAAATCGACCAATCCCAGTAGGAATTCAAATCCACGAAAATGACGTGAATTAGCTATACAACAATTTGACATTATTGAAAGATTCTATGTTTTTTTCACTTACAAGGTTCACAATAGTTGCCAAAATCAGCTGTAACTATTGATCAAAGATTTGCTTTAAAATCAATCAAAAAATGGATCATTCGATTCGAACCACTTTTTTGAAGCAATAACAAATTCTGTAGGTTTGTTCAGCACGATGAAGCTTCTGAATGATCGATTTGGAAGCAAATCTTTGATCAATAGTCACAACTGATTTTGACAGCTTTTGTTAACCTTGAAAGTGAAAAGGACATAGAATCTTTCAATAATGTCAAATTGGTGTATAGCTCATTCACATGATTTTTGTGGATTTGAATTCCTACTGGGATTGGTCAATTTTAAACCTCTTTATTTACCAAAGGAATAACTTTTTCATGGTTTCGACTGCAGTTTTGGCATCTCCATTGTCGTTTCCATAAGGCATTTCCTGGTGGGGCGTGATTTCTGGGCCACCCTGTATAATGTTCCTTATTTTCAGATAATGATCTCTACTCTTAGATATTATTAAGTCCTCACTCTTACATAATGATACCTATTGTCAGATAATCTCTACTCTTAGATCATGTACTCTTTACTCTCAGAAAATGATCTCTATTCTCAGATAATGATCCCTATTCTTAGATAATGTTCCCTATTCTCAGATAATAATCCCTTCTCTTAGAAGATCTTCCCTATTCTTAAGTAAAATGTTCCTTACTTTTAGATAATGGTCCCTACTCTTATATACTATGCCCAACTTTGAGATAATGTTCTCTAACTAGGGCCGCTATAATGAGAAAGTCTTCACTCATTACACTTTATCTTAATTATACTCATTAACTGTTTAGTTTAGAAACTAACCATCAAGCTTCCATTTCAACCGTAACATTAAAATAAATTTAAAAACGGAGTAGACGCCGGTGTTTTATTTCATTCATTCATTCATTTTCGTTTTTTTCAGTTAACTCGCCCCGGCGTTTTGCGCATTCCGGTGGCCGGAGGCGCCGCGACGCTCGTCCGTCGGCGTTCAGTAGGCAATCAGGCGGCGTCGCGACGCAACGTGGTGGCGGTCGAACGAGAGAGCGTCGTCATGTGAAGAGCGCGCGATTGTGTAGCTGGTGTACGAGACGTGTCGTGGCCGCTGCCGGCCCGGCCTAAAAACAGGTAGAGGGAATTGAATTTATTTGAATTTATTATCTTTTTATTTATGGTAATTGTGTAGAGGGAAATATGTGAAATATAAAATGCAAGAAGTTATTAATTAGGAGCGTACCGGAGCTATCGGGCAACCAAATTTCAATCTTATTTTCACACCTTGTAATGTAATTGAATTTATTTGAATTTATTACCTTTTATTTATAGTAATTGTGTAGAGGGAAATATGTGAAATATAAAATGCAAGAAGTTATTAATTAGGAGCGTACCGGAGCTCTCGGGCAACCAAATTTCAATCTTATTTTCACACCTTGTAATGTAATTGAATTTATTTGAATTTATTACCTTTTATTTATAGTAATTGTGTAGAGGGAAATATGTGAAATATAAAATGCAAGAAGTTATTAATTAGGAGCGTACCGGAGCTATCGGGCAACCAAATTTCAATTTTATTTTCACACCTTGTAATGTAATTGAATTTATTTGAATTTATTACCTTTTATTTATAGTAATTGTGTAGAGGGAAATATGTGAAATATAAAATGCAAGAAGTTATTAATTAGGAGCGTACCGGAGCTATCGGGCAACCAAATTTCAATCTTATTTTCACACCTTGTAATGTAATTGAATTTATTTGAATTTATTACCTTTTATTTATAGTAATTGTGTAGAGGGAAATATGTAAAATATAAAATGGAAGAAGTTATTAATTAGGAGCGTACCGGAGCTATCGGGCAACCAAATTTCAATCTTATTTTCACACCTTGTAATGTAATTGAATTTATTTTTATTTATTACCTTTTATTTATAGTAATTTTGTAGAGGAAATATGTGAAATATAAAATGCAAGAAGTTATTAATTAGGAGCGTACCGGAGCTATCGGGCAACCAAATTTCAATCTTATTTTCACACCTTGTAATGTAATTGAATTTATTTGAATTTATTACCTTTTATTTATAGTAATTTTGTAGAGGAAATATGTGAAATATAAAATGCAAGAAGTTATTAATTAGGAGCGTACCGGAGCTATCGGGCAACCAAATTTCAATCTTATTTTCACACCTTGTAATGTAATTGAATTTATTTGAATTTATTACCTTTTATTTATAGTAATTGTGTAGAGGGAAATATGTAAAATATAAAATGGAAGAAGTTATTAATTAGGAGCGTACCGGAGCTATCGGGCAACCAAATTTCAATCTTATTTTCACACCTTGTAATGTAATTGAATTTATTTTTATTTATTACCTTTTATTTATAGTAATTTTGTAGAGGAAATATGTGAAATATAAAATGCAAGAAGTTATTAATTAGGAGCGTACCGGAGCTATCGGGCAACCAAATTTCAATCTTATTTTCACACCTTGTAATGTAATTGAATTTATTTGAATTTATTACCTTTTATTTATAGTAATTGTGTAGAGGGAAATATGTAAAATATAAAATGGAAGAAGTTATTAATTAGGAGCGTACCGAAGCTCTCGGGCAACCAAATTTCAATCTTATTTTCACTCCTTATGTATAATAATATACAAATTTCGGGACACAAGTTACTGGTTTGAAATGCAACACAATAATGCTAGTAGTTGAAACCTAGTAAAAAACCTAAATATTCCCGGTGGCGTTTATATTACAAGAGTTTAAATGAAAAAGGTGGGAAAGCTTCTCATTTAAAATTGACGAAACAATTTTAAAATATAACCGACAAAATTATTTAAATAACCTATAGAATTGCGCCGACTCCTTTTTTTCTAAAATCTAATAAATTTAAAAAATTATATTGACAAGAGAAGGTTTACAAAAATTTTAATGAAACTGCGCAAAACAATTATTATTTTTAAGTAACTATCCAAAATTTCATATAATCGGATAAAAACTAACGATTCTATAATAGAAGTAAAATCAGTTTAATAGGTATTCGGTACGCTCTTAACTAAAACGATTGTTTAAATTTTTTCAAGTACAGCGAAGTGGATTGAAAAATTTGAAATTTTCATGAAAAAACTATAAAAGGGAGGATGCATCTAATGCAAATATTATAAAACATAATAATTAATCATTCATAAAACTCTTTATATTTGCATATTTTCATCATACTTTACGAACACATCTTGCATAGCATATTTGCTCAAAAATATTTCGCATACACTCCGAGCTTAAAGTTTTTATTCATAGCAAATTTTTCTAACGGTATTAAATTTGCCCCGATTAAGCAAATTCGAACCTAAATTCTCACAAATTGAAACGTCTCTTGGTTACAACAATTTATCTTCAACTGCTTTAATTGCGTTCAATCCCAATTTAAAATTCGCAATCACTTTGTAAATTGGGAATATAGAGTTTATTAAATCGAGACCTTTAAAATGCGCCATCCAGTGAAATTGCATCCGTTTTTTACTAACAATCGAGTAATCGTTTCGAAACTACCAAACACAAAGAACATCGCAGATTGCCTTGAACATGAAAGGATTTTAAAACCCACCCGCTACGAAATTAAAAGGAACAGCTTAAGAATCCTTTATAACTACTAATCTTATCGAAACCAGGATTATCCGGTATTAACCTATTTACCTATTAATTTTTTTCATGCTTATACAGTGAGGACCAAAAGTCAGTCGCCCCCCCTTTAACTTTTGAATGGTAAGAGCTTTTGTCGCGTAATTTGGGGTGTTTATATTAGAGTAAAAATACTATTTTTTGACGTAAAAATGACAGTTGAAACTTTCAAAATGACAGGCGCTATTTTGAATATTTTTTTCTTATGGAAAGGGGGGTTAAGTGATACCTCGTTTTAAAGGTAATTTCATCCTTAAGTCAACCCCCAAATTTGAAAACATTTTAATAACACGTATTCACGTGAAGACCAATTTAGTTTTAACCCCCGGGCTTATTGATACATTTAAGAATTAATTCTAAACGTACTATAAAATGTGCCAATTAATTGTTGCTATAGTTTCTTGGCTCTGACATTTGTTTATCAAATTTAAAGTTGATGAAATTGACAATGGCTCGTCCTTTAAACGAAAAACACCCCAAATTGCGCGACAAAAGTTCTTACCATTCAAAAGTTAAAAGGGGGGGCGACGGACTTTTGGTCTTCACTGTATATATTCCGTTTAACACTCGCAATGACGTCACACCGTTATAAATTTCTCCTCACTATAGGCAACAAACCAATTCGAATGTATTCCAGTAGGAAAACATACACGTCCTTC